AAAAAAAAATAAACTAAAAATATTAACTGGATCAAAAGTTATTTAAGTTGTCAGTTAGTGGTGGGCCACCCTGTATATAAAAGTGTCAGTATTTCCGGAAATTTTAAGTTGAAAAAGTTGTCATTTTGAATCCCTCCTGAGAGCAAGTAAAAAGTCACATTTATAAAAAAAATTTATAAATTTTCTTTATAATTATAATTTATAATTTATAAATTTTATAAACCGTTCCTGAAATAATATTTTTTATGTAAAACTCCTTTCGTGCATCGTGTAATTTATAAAAGCCTAATATTCAGTTAATGTAGATTAGAATAACCCGATAATTATAATATGTGAGACTTCGCCATATTAGATAGTGTAGAATTTCAATCATTCTGCTGAAAAAATTCCTTGCATTATACCCTGTTTAAATGTAAATCAGAAAAAAAATTTAAATGTATGTATTCTTACTTATTTAATTTGGGATTAAGAAATTGTTCAAAACCTAGGCTTTTGTACCAAATTTCTATGGTTTCGTCGCAAAACTTTTTAAGTTCACTACATGTTGAAATTACGACATCATAGTTATTTTCATTTGAGCATTCCTCAATTATAATTGTTGTCAAATCTGTTTTTTCGGAAGTGTCAATGATATTACTATTTTCAAAAAGATGAATTACTTTTTTTAATGCGTCTGCGTGAAACTTTGTCAAATTCTGAAATTTCGTTTTTGAATCTAGATTTGGTGATTCGTTTAGATCAAAACAGCTAATCTCTACGACATATTGATATATAAAGTCTATTTCATCAATTATAGCATGCGGCACAACGCCTTGAAAGAACAAAAATCTTATGTCAATATAACTGATAAACTTCATAGCACTGTGAAGACTTTTAATCATAGTCTTGGAATTTTGCATTGCGTCTTCTAGTATTGTTACACAACGATTAAAATCTTCTGATAAATTTCTTTCTTGAAATCGCTGACATTTACGGATGATGATATCCAGGTAATTGAGGAATTTTTTCAGTATTTCCGTGTATTTGAAATTGAGTACACTTATTGTATAACAATATATATACGGGAAATCAAGGAGTTTGTTAAGTTGTTTAGTTTCCACTATAACAGTAGTATATATTGAATCTTGTTTTAGTATTAGATTTTGCATTTGTTCCGATCTAAGTTGTAAATATATGTCTCTCACCACTCTTTTGATATAAATTGTATAATCCCCATTTTTTTCGCAATGAACTCCATCTTTTAGTATCAACACAAAAACGACAATAAATATTGAAATAAATGTATACAATTTCATTGTAAAAAAATACAAATATTAAAAATAACTTGTTTGAAACTAATGAAAATTTAAAAAATGTATAATTATTATTATATATAATTTATAATCTAAAATGTGTATAAATATCAATGTGTAGAATGTAATACTATTTTTAAGACAGTAAGAATATATTACACGCAATATAGCAATTTTTTTTTCTTGTAAATTATTATGGGAAATGTAAATACTATTAGAAATAAATTTCGACAATTTAATCTTATTGTTTACACTTATAAATTAATCATATTAAACATGATAAATTTTACGTAGTAAATAAAAACCAATATTTTTTTAGAAATAAACTTATAATTTAGTCTAAATAACGTTGTCGCTACATTTCTTATTGTAATTACATACTGATTTTTCAATTTTCTGTTAGGGTATTTATGCGATTTATTTATTTTTTCAACATACATCTATATAATTCTATAATTCAATGATGACATTGAAGTGGTGGCTCGTGGCTTGGATGATTAATTAAGAGAAATAAATTAATTGTATATTTTTAATTATACATTTTTATTAAAAATTCCAATTCTTAAATAGTAAAATAATTATAATACATTTGTCGTTTGCGAACATTAATGTTGTTCCCTCGGTATATCCGTGTTCACACGAGCAGTGTGACACGGTAAATTCGAGTATCAATAAAAGTTTGTTTCTTAAAAAAAAAAGATATATGTGACACAAATACTCACCACAATGTCTAAAGTATCGCTACAATTGCACTGGCCCAAAGCAAAAGAAAACCAGATAATATTATATATATGTATATGTATATATAAAAAAAAAAGAGAAATTTAAATAAACCAATATATATAGATTTATATTTTACGATTTAAATGAAAGAGATGATACAACATAAGGTTTTAATTTAAATGTATAAAAGTAACCTTTTTTAATGTACAACACGTGACGACGTCGGATGCAGAAAATTCACGTAGGGCGTCAAAAACAAGATAGAGCGTTCACCACCGCCGGTGCTCGGTGGTCGATCGCGCTCCAGTAGATAGACTTTGCACCCTAAATAGATAGCGGGGGTACTTTTATCAGGCTGAGCTCGCGATGTAATAAGGCGGCTGATGGAAGAGACGAGGTGACCGTGCATCGCAAAATATACGGTACCGTGTCAAGTGTTTGGACGACCAGTAGCGTCGTCCGAACAATATTTTGAAACGTATGTATAAACGAAGCGGCCAATCGTGTGCGTGCGGGTACGGTAAAGCTGCGATCTTATGTACGACCGGCAGCGTCGTCCTATACTGTAAAACATTAGTATATTACTATATTGGCTAATTTATTTTTAGAAATAATACGTGTACGCTCGTCGGTTGTTATAATAGTATAATCGCTATTATTATTATTTTCTTTTCTATTTTTTACTGCGACCTTAAAATGATAATATGTGTTTGTGTTTTATTTTATTATATTTAATTTGAATTTTAAATTATATTTAATTTTATACCTATAAATAGCGGTTTGACATGGTCCCGCGTCGCTTCTTGATACACAGAGCCCCATTAATAAACGGCTTTACACTACCTTTTATTCTGTAAAATCGGTGTCGTCTATTCATCGTGCTTACGACGTGAGTCGTAACAACTGGCTCCCCGGCAAAGGATTAAACCGGATTTACGTGACTAAGGTAAGAAACCCATTTGCTGACTTGATTTTTATTTTATTGCTTAATTTTTTCATATAAGAGACAGCTAGGTTTCCTTATCCACCTGTGCTACGGATATTTTGATCACACAGTTTGCAGGTGACATCAGTGAATTCCCTATCCGGTTATCGTAAATTGTCAATAGCGCAACGATTGTGGAATTCCATTTTATTAGCTATTTTAAATATTAACAAGTAGATTAACCAGTTGTTTTCCCGCGATTGTCGATATCGTATTTCTGAATAACAAAAATAAATAAGCGCTTACATTTTTATTTTGTTTGTTCATTTTCGCAAAATACGGTAAGAAACGTTCACTATGTCTGGTAAAAAACTTTCTCAAATGAACCGCCGGGAATTATTGCATGAATGCGCTTATAAGCAGTTAATTGGACCCACGATGAAAAACAATATGCTAGCCGTTTAGGAGAATAGTTTACACAGCGAAGGACCAGACCTATCGAACGCCCGTCCCTTCATTACGAGACGCTCGCGACGGTACGCGAGTCACTGGTAAACGAATTCCCCGCGCTATGCCGGACCGTTTACCTCCCCCCCAACAAGCGCGGATCAACTTGAGAGATGACGACTTGGGCCATGCAACGGATTGTGGAGTCGCCGCCCTCATGGCTCCCTTGCAAAAGGAAATCGGGTCGCCAACCACTTAGGCGAGGGTCTTGATCATAAAAAGAACAACACCCGGACCATAAATGGATTTAAGATAATAAAAAATAATAAGATAACCAATAATATGCTCTTTGATGAAACAAAGTGGATTAAAAAAAATTAACTAAAATATAAAGTGTTGTTGTAGACTATAATACGCTGATACCTTGTAAATAAAACAAATATGTATATTTGATGTCACCAGTGGTGGACATACTTTAGTATGTCGAAGACCGTTACCTTAAAACTAGAGAGAATTATTTAAAGGAAAAAAAAAATAAGATACACGTGAATATTGAAGATATTCACGCAATAAAAAGATTTTTGTTGATTAAGAAAATTAAGGGGATTTTATTAAATTATTACAATTAAGTTAATAGTGGACAAAACCCGAAGGCAAAAACCACTCTGCAAATGAAGGGACAAAAGAGAAAAAAAAACAATTATTAAGACAAAAAAAAATTTTAACCTACAACTTTTAAATATTACACAGGAAATGTCTTCCGCATCGGAACAAGTCCGTGTGCTCCGGATAATTTCTGTAATCTGGCCGGCCGGACCGTACTTGGGCACTGCGGGAATAATATATATATGTATTAAATATACATGACACACCACTGACCAATAACCTTATAAACAGCAATGCTAAAGTCCATATATAGTTCATAACAAAATAAATTTACAACAGAAAAAGGCTCAATACATTATATTAAATAAAAATAAAAAAACAATATACGATACTCAGTCCCGGATGGGACTCATCCTAAGATGGGGATCTCGGCCCCGGAAATGGCCGACGCTTGGTTAAATCAATACATGATTTTTACACGACGAACACGAAAAAAAACTATTATTGGCTGCACGCACACTATATACCACAACGGTGGTTCAAAAGGAAGAGAGCTCAAATTTTTCTTACACACCGGGCGAGACATAAGGACGACGACGATTACGTTTGGGAGAGGGTATCGGCTTAACAATTTACAAAATATAAAACAGATAAAAATATGAACAATATTAAAATTATACAGGTATTGACAGTGGTGGCCAGTGTATGTGTCATTTAAGGAACGATTATTAAACTGATAAAGAATATTGTGTGTATAGCGTTCACCTTGACAGCAACAGTACAGTTTTCTGATTACACGGCCGGATATAACGTACGCGCGCCCATTAGCAAAGCAAAACAGTAAATCTATCTATATCATAAAATTCATATTTTGTCACGTTACAAACTGGTTAACTTGGCGCTAGAGGATTCCGAAATAGGGTCCCTACACGTGTGGCCTCAGGCAACCGGCCGCTCAAATGGCAGTGTAAACGCAGCGTATACAGATGACTTGTATACGGTGCGTTCAATACCCACGCAACGGAGGAGATAGGTGTTTTAAGGCAAATTTTACGCGATATATCTCTTAACATACGTATGGAAGCGCGCATGCCCAAAGTAGAGAGAGGTACTGTCTCGTTATACACAGGACATTCGGTCCCTCTCACAAACCATTATAAGCCGCGACACGAATAACGAGACCATACGAAATCCGTTCGCCACTGCACAGATGACGCGAGAAACAGGAGAAACAAATCGTACTGGTTACGCGCACTTGTCGGAACCAAACTGCGTAACGTTCGATCCGAGCAGCACGACCCAAAATAACGCTGCTTTACAACAACGTTTGACGGAGATCAAAGACCTTCAACGATTAGCCAGCCTGACCACGCGCGCGTCACCATCACTACCTCGAGCGAGCACGCACCAATCAGGCTTTCATTTAGACGCGCGCCCACAACACACGGATCATTTCGGGCCAAACACATTCGCGCCACCGATACGCAATTAGTCACCGTCTTCATCAACCCGCTCACATATACATATTGCGACTGTACCGTACCAAAATCCGCCTGTTATACGACCTCCTTCCCCCGAGTTCACGGAAAAATTTGACGAGGACCCGAGGGAGTTTCTGGAGCAGCTAGAAAATTTCCTGACTCAATCCGGCGGCATTCATTACGATTTGTGGGTGAATACCGGGGTACAGTTTTTAAGGGACACGGGATTTACTTGGTGGGAGTCCATTAAGTTGAACAACATGTCCTGGCGCCAATTTTCGTGGCGTTTGATAGTAACAGCATCCAAGCGGAGCTGGAAAACGAACTCATGATGACACAACAGGGGCCCATTAGCGAATGACGGAGTTTATTATAAATAAACAATGGCTAGCGATACGAGCACGCCCCAGTTGTTCAGAGCAGCATGTCGTAGATCGGGTAGTCAGTCTTTTACGCTTCGGGAAACGAACAGTAGCAACGGAGAAATTAGTCCGCTTTCTTGGCTCAAAGACACTATTTCTTTCATCACCAATCAAACATACAACGCAGCGCGAACGACCAGTTCGCTCATCGACGATAACGAAATCAAACGCGCTACTCTCAACGTCGGAACAGAAGCGCGTGAAAAACGATACAAGGAGTATATGCTGAAGCGTTGGGGAGTGGTCGTTGGCGAGACGACCCCCACCGTCATTCAACAACAACAACCACAATGGCTACGACACCAACAATGGACACAGCAGTGCTAGCCACAACAGAAGAACCCCTGTTGGAGGAACTCATGGAGTTAGAGGAAGTCATGCTGGAAGATCGATCTGTTTCTCACCTGCTCCCCATCTCCTGAACCTCCTAAGAAGGAATAACAAGCATCCACTCCTCTACAACCCATGCCACAAAGAGCGATACCGCGCGAACAAACACCACTTCAAACAAACAACGTAAGTATATGCGGCCTTCGCAGTGACAGGCGGTATGATTAACTACCTGTTTCATTTTACAACCCACCGTAAATATACATCGAGGAAGTCACCATCGTGACAACGCCTGATACGGAAATCGTCCTTTCAGCGCGATATCGTTGATTTTGATATACTTATATATATATATTTGTTTTTAACTTTGTGTAACCATCGAAATCACGTCCGCTCACTTAGTTGTATATGTGCTCATCATTTTTTTTTAATTGTCTTTATCATTAATAAACAGCTTTACGCCACTTTCTGTCATGTAAAACCAATGTCGTCTATTCATCGTGCTTACTACGTGAATCGTAATAGGTTTTATATTTAAAGTCGCACCCCCACCACCACTGCGTAGAGGCATAAAAGTCATATTAAAAAACCTTAATTCTTTATTCTTATATTAAATTAAAGCTAATACAATGTGTTGTAGTCACCACTATAGGCTTTATATAACTATTTTATATTATATTTTATTGATAGGAGCTTCCGTGTGTAACAGATATATGAGTGAACTTGGGGGTGACATGAGATATTTTACATTTTAACATTAGGACAGTCTAGTGTTGCACATTAAAAAGTAATAACCAAAAGTCTAGTAGTGTTTATTATTATATTAATAATGAATGTATTTTTGTTTACTTTATATAACTTTACTCTATTTTTTATTCTATTATATAGTAATTCAAAGTAAAAAAAAATGAAAGGGAAAAGGATGATCTAAAGGTTTTGATGATTGTGTTATAAAAATAATATTCTTATGCGTTATTGGCTAGATGTAAATTCACAAGTCACAAGGTCACAAGTGAATTACTGCATTTAACTAGTTATTATTTTTTATTATATCAGAGTACTTGTATCTTTGTGTAACACTTTGTGTGCACCTTGTATTCTGTTATCTTTCTTACCTGGTACGCCTAGTATTTGTGTTTCGCACAACTTCAGCACCTCATACCTAAATGTTACCCTTATTCCCTTCCTATAACAACGGCCTTTCGACACCCACAGCTAACCCGGAGTATCAGTCGAGCACAGTAACTGCTGTATGATTACACATACGTAAATACCCATTCAACTGACTCAACATAATCTTCGTACACACTACACTACTCTAATATACTTTTCCATTTGGATTTTGTTTGTGTTACAACACTTTATTACATTTTTTATTCTATTATGTAGTAAATCGAAATAAAATTAAAATAAAAGGGAAAAAAATGATCCAAAGGATTTATTTGCCTAAAGTAGCACGGGCAATAGCATGAACAACTTGCTCTTAGGATTTTTTAAAATGTGTATATATCATGTTTTCTTACATAATGATAAAATTAAGTACCATTATTAATGAATTCGATTACTCATCAAACTTTATTATTTAAAAACAATTAAAAATATATTTTGCAAACTCATTTTTCATACTGATTTCAAATATGCAATTAGATTTTTTTCATCGCCACTAATTTTGATATTACTAAAAATTACTAAATAACAAGTATTAACATGTAAAAAATCATTAAAAAAATTACATTTACTTGATAAAAAAATTTGTTTTAAAAATTTTGTCAAATAGTAAATACTTGTTCTCCAAATTATAATAATGTCAAAAAATATGTAATAGAGAAAATGTAATTTCAGATTTGAAATCAGCCTAAATATTTGGTTTACCAAAGTATAATAATTCACAACGTTATTAGCTATAATACTTTATATATTTAGAACTTTTTAATATTATAGTGTAACAAATTTAGCAAAATTACAAATATATCTGAAAACATTAATAAGTAACAATAAAAATATAATTTGTTATATGAAATGTATCATTAAAAGTGAACCTGCTAATTCTTATCCTTTCCTATGCATTAAAGGCTAAGTTGATAAATNAAAAAATGAAAGGGAAAAGGATGATCTAAAGGTTTTGATGATTGTGTTATAAAAATAATATTCTTATGCGTTATTGGCTAGATGTAAATTCACAAGTCACAAGGTCACAAGTGAATTACTGCATTTAACTAGTTATTATTTTTTATTATATCAGAGTACTTGTATCTTTGTGTAACACTTTGTGTGCACCTTGTATTCTGTTATCTTTCTTACCTGGTACGCCTAGTATTTGTGTTTCGCACAACTTCAGCACCTCATACCTAAATGTTACCCTTATTCCCTTCCTATAACAACGGCCTTTCGACACCCACAGCTAACCCGGAGTATCAGTCGAGCACAGTAACTGCTGTATGATTACACATACGTAAATACCCATTCAACTGACTCAACATAATCTTCGTACACACTACACTACTCTAATATACTTTTCCATTTGGATTTTGTTTGTGTTACAACACTTTATTACATTTTTTATTCTATTATGTAGTAAATCGAAATAAAATTAAAATAAAAGGGAAAAAAATGATCCAAAGGATTTATTTGCCTAAAGTAGCACGGGCAACAGCATGAACAACTTGCTCTTAGGATTTTTTAAAATGTTTATATATCATGTTTTCTTACATAATGATAAAATTAAGTACCATTATTAATGAATTCGATTACTCATCAAACTTTATTATTTAAAAACAATTAAAAATATATTTTGCAAACTCATTTTTCATACTGATTTCAAATATGCAATTAGATTTTTTTCATCGCCACTAATTTTGATATTACTAAAAATTACTAAATAACAAGTATTAACATGTAAAAAATCATTAAAAAAATTACATTTACTTGATAAAAAAATTTGTTTTAAAAATTTTGTCAAATAGTAAATACTTGTTCTCCAAATTATAATAATGTCAAAAAATATGTAATAGAGAAAATGTAATTTCAGATTTGAAATCAGCCTAAATATTTGGTTTACCAAAGTATAATAATTCACAACGTTATTAGCTATAATACTTTATATATTTAGAACTTTTTAATATTATAGTGTAACAAATTTAGCAAAATTACAAATATATCTGAAAACATTAATAAGTAACAATAAAAATATAATTTGTTATATGAAATGTATCATTAAAAGTGAACCTGCTAATTCTTATCCTTTCCTATGCATTAAAGGCTAAGTTGATAAATTTACAGTGAATGGGATAAGTTTGTCGTCTAATTCTTTGTTTTGACAATCTAAAACTTTGTTAAAGCCCAGATCATCATAACATGATTTGTAAGCAAATTTACAGAAATCATCAAAATTATTACATGCACTAAGATAAACTTGGATTGCCCATTCAGGATTTGGATTATCCATCGTAAGTGGTATTTTCCTGAATTCATTTATTTTATCAAATTTATAATACAAAGGATTTTCCATTGAACACCGGGTGTCTATATGTTTTATATCGTTTTGTAAATGACGGCCCATATAATTTAAAAATTTGTGGAAATTTTCTAAAAGTATTTCTACATCTTCAGTTTTCAATTTACCCTGTTTATCGTCAAAATTATCTCGAGACAATTTATTGTTCTTTAAGAATCTGAGGAAATCTGTAACCCAGTTTAATATGTTCCATAAATTTGATTTACAGTGTAAATTAACATTCCATATTGATGTTTTATTTAAAGAAATTAAAGCTGTATGCAACCCTCGAAGCATTATTTCAGATTTGTTGAATGAGTTAAATAATTCAATTAAACATTTTAAGTAATAGTCAGAGGCATCTGTTTTGCATATATGAAATATACAAGTTAATAATGTATAGTAGTTTTTCAGTATTTCTGAATATCTACATCTTAATAATTGTAAGACATGTTCTTTTTTTATTCGAAAATTCATGTCACATACTTGGTCTTTAATTATAGAATCTACGCTGAATAATTTATTATAATAAATTATTTTTATGTGATTCATTGATTTCCAACCAGGTTCCTTAAGAAGAATATTAAGAGCTTTAATACCATCGCCTTGATTTATTGCTGCATCTATTGGAGGTATATATCTATAATAAATAAAATCCGAATCTGTTATTTTTTTATTAAAATAGTGCAGTATTCAAACTAATTATAAAAACAACTTATTAAAAATTAAATTTATGAATTTTTTTGATAAAAATTGACACCAAAGTGATACAAAATGTCAACAATTTATAAAAAATTTGGTTTGAGTGATTTAATAAGTATAAATCATAGGAATGTTTGTTATTTTCTAATAATAAAATACTCTTAAAACGCTCTAATTTGTTATAATTTGAATGATCATAAAGTGAAGGAGCCGAAGTGAACATTTTTATGCCCTTTTATATTAAATTTCATTTATCTATATATGCAAGAAGTATCACGATCTTTTACTATTGATTATTACTCTTGTAATAATAAACTTTGTTTATTACTCAAATGTTTTAGTTACTACATATTATTTTATTTAAAATAGATAATTTTGTCTCAACTAAAGAATTCCTTATAGTTATTACATTAGATTTATGTTAATGCATATTTATACATATTTCTCGAAATAGTTTAAAACATTGACATAATTAATATATACTTAATTTGATGACTAATAAGCAATGATTTATAAACTACTGATTAATGGGTGGTGGATGTATTATAACAGTACTACAAATCAACATCTTTAATTTAATCAAGTTTAAAATAGAGCAGATGTTGCGGAACATTTCAACAATTCAGCTGAACCTTTTCTTAATTAATCATAAAAATTATACCAAAATAAAACACATAGTCTTTAGTATATCATAAAAAAATTTCTATAGACTTTGTGTATTTGATAAAAAGTTTAACAATTAAAAAGCAAAATTTTCTTTTAACTCATCTTTATAATAATTTTTTAAATTACTAAAATTGATCGTTTTTTTTTCAAATTTCTGGTGAATATGGGTTTTATTTGATTAAAAACCGGGGTTTTGGGTGGATTTATCATAAAATAAGGAAAAAGGTTTTTTATATGATTATTCTGACCTTTATGAGTTCATTATTATTTTAATCATGAAATTTTAATTTATAATTCATCATTTTTAGTAGCTAGAACAGTGATTTTAGAAAAGACAGCATCTTTCTCGTCTTTTTTTCCTCACGTTAATCCGTACTACTTGGGGTCGGCTACTCTTATCCTAAACTTCCAATTGACACGATCACCCACATCATATACGCTCACATCAGCTGTCCTCATATCACATTCAATAATATCTCCTTTAAAATTCATTTCTATAACTGTTCTTACAGTTTCCGATTCCTCTCTCCTTATAACATGACCAAACCATTTAATTCTATTTTCTATCATTATAACTTTGATTAACGCTAAACCTATCGTACATTGGTTATACATATACACACAGATTTATTTAGTATGTGTCATGAATTGTCCGACTGCCTATTTTACCTTTATCCTAAATACCTGTACTATATTTGAAAACTATCAACCAGCGCTGTGGTTACGCTGTCCACAACTCTATCCCACGTGATAACAAGCCGGCTTGGTAGATGGGAAAAAGTACAGTTATGTTTAAAAAAAGACACTTATTGGTCAATATCATTATAGTCATCACGTTTATATCAAATTTTAAGATAGAGTGGAACGTTTTCAATTTGTCTTGATCATAATAATCGCATCGCTCACAAAATGACTTCTTGGGATATCTCAACAATTATATTATAATGTGGTATATTTTGTCTTTTGTATCTTTTTGCGCAGTGCGCACATGTAAATTAATTAATTATTTTCTTTTTTTATTGGTAATCTGACCATGTGGTCATATTTTTTTTTTATTTAGTTACTGATTATATAGGTTAATTATAAATTTTATATGAGTAATGGTCAATCCTTATAAAGTTTGTTCCTTCACCCCTCTACATGATCTAACAGTTCTACAGGTGTAGTTATGGTGGACATGGTGAACATCTCATTGGGCCCTCTACATTTATGTAGAGGATACCCGTTAACGTTAGTGACATGCCCTTTATACCCTGACATATGCGTTGGTCCTCTCATGCTCATGTTTTCCCTATTTATTTTACATTGTTAATTTGTTAAATTGACTATTGAATATTTTTTTAAGACTAATATGTGATGAAGATTAATACGTTTTATTTCAATGATTTTATCAATCCAGATAATATGTTAATAACTACTAGTTTGTTTTGACAATGAGTATTATGTATATATATAGTATGTTGAGTAAGTAAGGAAACGAATTTCTATTGTTTTCATTTTTTATAACAATTGACCTGCTTCCCTACTTACTGAACACAATGTATGTTATTACTCTTCAAGAGAAATATGTAGAGTGTTTAGATGCTTGACTGTAGATAGCTTGTCAATAACATTTTAGTTTTTTCCCCTTGTTGTTCTTGGGTTTTGTATATTTTATTTTAATTTATTGATTAATTTGACTTTATTGGACATTATTCTTTTATTTTGATAGTTAAATTATAATATTAATTACATTTTAATAATTTTTATACTATGTTATAATTGTTATTTATAACCTTCTTTCCTCTAGGATAAGGCTCGAAATTTATGGTGCTCCGCATTGCCATTGGCTTGCCTCAGCCCATGGTGGACCCTTTTAAAGTTCTTGTTAAATTTAAGCTGGTTAATTATGAGTTTAGCTTACAGAGTTAAATTGGTACTCACCTCCCCTCTTATATTTAAAATATAAACATGAATAATTGAAAAAAATAAAAATAAAAAATTATAGCAACACCAAAAATTGTGATTTTTTTGGATTTTTAGAGTAATACAAAAGTACGGGAAAAACTCGATAATTTGCAACAAATACAGGTTTTTAATATACTTTTCCAGTATTATTATTTTAAATTAATTGAAGCTAAAATATAATACAATCTTATTTATATTTAACGATAAAACAATGGTGTCTTTAGATTTTAATTATAACAATTGTGTTAATCTTTTATAGTTATAAAGATTTGGAGAAGTGACATCATAGACTGTGGGATACTATCATGATAGCAGATTTTGTTGGGTGTACGGAACAACGTGAACAAACACAAAATAATTATACATTTGTTATAAGTAGGATATAAATACATAATCATATTTATAGTTAAAAAATATATATGATGTAATACAATATTTGCTTTAATTATTTCAGATTACTTATACTGATAAAGTATATATAAAAACCAACCAGCATTTGTAGCAAATTTTCAACATTTTTTTTTTTTTTTTTTTAAATAACACTCAAACTCAATTTTAAAGATCCAAAAATCAGTTCAACTTAATGAAACTTAACTTTTATTATAGATCATTAAATATAAATTTCACATTATAATTTTTACCTACTAATAATTAACAGTAATGACAGGTTGTGAAAAAGGAGTGCAGTTATTTTTATCACTAAAAATGTCTTAACCTCACTACTGTCCCAACGCTTAGGTATAAAATAGTCAATAACTTCCCAAATTCTGGTTCAAGAGTTTTGTATTGACTATTTAAATTTTAAATTAGATAATTTTAATTACTTGAATTATTAATAGATATTTCTATATATTAAATAAACCATGCATTTATTATGATACCATATGAAAAAATAAGGTTGACATATATAAGTTATAAGTATTTAACTATTAATAATTAACTATATACCAATTGTGATTACCAAGTTTGACGAATTATACTACATTAAACTTATTGATAAATGTTTTTAATAACAAAAATAAAGTGTATATTCAATTTCCTTATATACCCAATTTTTGATTTAACTTTTTGGCTATACCGTTCCTGAAATAATATTTTTTATGTAAAACTCCTATCATGCATCGTGTAATCTATAAAAGCCTAATATTCAATTAATGTAGATTAGAATAACCCGATAATTATAATATGGCGAAGTCACACATTAAATAGTTTAGAATTTCAATCATTCAGCTGAGAAAATTCTTTGCATTATACAATGTGTAAATATAAATTAGAAAAAAAATTTAAATGTAGGTATTCTTACTTCTTTAATTTGGGGTTAAAAAATTGTTCAAAACCTAGGCTTTTGTACCAAATTTCTATGGTTTCGTCGTAAAACTTTTTAAGTTCAATACATGTTGAAATTATGACATCATAGTTATTTTCATTTGAGCATTCCTGAATTTTAATTGTTGTCAAATTTGTTTTTTCGGAAGTGTCAATGATAATACTTTTTTCAAAAAGATCATTTACTATATTTAATGCGTCTGCATGAAATTTTGTCAAATTCTGAAATTTCTCTTTGAAATCTAGATTTGGTGATTTGTTTAGATCAAAACAGCTAATCTCTACGACATATTGATATATAAAGTCTATCTCATCAATTATACCATGCGACACGGCGCCTTGAGAAAATAAAAATCTTATATCAATATAACTGATAAACTTCATAGCATTGTGGAGACTTTTAATCATAGTCTTGGAATTTTTTATTGCATCTTCAAGTATTGTTACACAACGATTAAAATCTTCAGATGAATTTCTTTCTTGAAATCGCTGACATTTACGGATGATGATATCCAGGTAATCGAGGAATTTTTTCAGTATTTCCGTGTATTTGAAATTGAGTATACTTATTGTATAATAATATAGATACGTGAAATCAAGCCGTTTGTCATGTAGGTTAGCTTCCACTATACCAGTAGTATTAATTGAATCTTGTTTCAGATTTAGATTTTGAATATGTTTCGATCTAATTAGTAAATGAATGTCAAACATCACTCTTTTGATATAATTTTTATAATCCCCACATTCACATAATGTCAACATAAAAATGACAATAGACATTGAAATAAATGTATACAATTTCATTGTAAAAAAATACGAATATTAAAGATAACTTGTTTGAAAGTATAGTAGTAATTATATAAGTATATAGTATATAATAAGTATATAAGTAATTTTAAAAATGAACATTTACAAATGTATAATTATTATTTTATATAATTTATAATATAAATTTGTATAAATATCAATGTGTAGAATATAAAACTATTTTTAAGACGCTAAAAATATATAGCGAGTTTTTTTTCTAATTAATTATTATTGGAAATGTAAATACTATTATAACCTAAAAATGTTGTCAAATTTCCTGTTTGAAATCCTATGTTTTTAACATCAGTGACTTTAAGACCAATTTTTATTATATTATGTTGTTTATTATAATAAGACCTACTAATTACTGTTAAAAACAATTTAAGTTTAATTAAGATAAAAAATTAATTTTAGAGAATGGTTAGCAATTATATTTCCTGATAGTGTAATATTTTAATTGTAATTTTATTTTCAATAATTAATTTCAATCAAACTAAAATACTGTTCTTCAATTTTAAAAAATGTAACATCCTGTAAATTTTATTATTTGTTTTGAGTTTAAATTTATAAATTTCATATATATATATATGTTAAAAGGTTTTTATGAATATCTTTATTTCAACACGAAAAATTAAATTTTATTTAAAATTATATAGTCCATGTGAAGAATACTACTGATTTTTATTTATAATCCGCCCGCATTTCATACCCACTCAATGTATTAAAATTCTTATAATTCAATAAGTATTTGTCTAATAATTATTTTCAACACATTAATAAAATATAACGGAAAATTTTTTAAAATTGGCTTTCTTAAAAACTAAAAAATATATGTATATTTTATTACAAAAAACATATATTACCTATGTGATATTAATGTAGTGAATGAACGCTTAAATTATAGTGATATTTTAATTAATTTAATTAATTATACTGTCATAGTGTTATAAACACAGATTATATGGAGAACTTCCTTTTTATGTTTGTCCTTATGGTGCTTTATTACTTCCTCTAATCACCCATACTACTACAAATACTACATTAATAGTATTTGCTTGTTTGCAGGAATTATTTTTTTATACATTAATGCAAACAGAAAAAAATTATTCATAAACTTTCTACAAAAAAAAAATTTCAACTCAGAGATAAATGAAATATCGCGTCAATATTTGAAAATAGCTATATTATCATTATCAGAGAAGCAATTAAAATGAAGGAGAGCTACAACCTCCCAAAGTATATTTGGATTCAACATAGCAATCGTAGATACTGTTTTCATATACATTTAAATTCTTGATGTTGATATTTATATTACTTTATCCCAGAAAGAACTAAATGTGTTTGTATATGGGGTCATTTTTTTGTGCAGTGGGGATGATGTGCCATTATGTTATTGGTACGACAGCTGAAATGCTCTAAACGAGATTCGGAGCCTATTTGTTAACAAATAAAACCCGCCATTATAAGATAGTACAATTTTTAATGCATACGTGAAATACGTATCTCTAAAAAATATTTATCAAGATGAAGTATTTTTAATAACTCAATTTTTTCGATAAGTTTTTGTGGCGATCATATTCTCAAGTACAAAATATAAATCAAATTGTTGAATATAGAGACAATCCTGAAGGTTAGTCATATTAACTATTAATTAATTTTACTGTTTGTGGTAAAATGTTATTGAAAAATAAAAAAACTTCTTGTTATGATTCATGAGAGAAAATTGAAAAAAGACAAAAATATTTAATAGTTTTAGTTTACAACAGAGGTTTTGTTTAAGATCTAGTAGAATTTTTTTTTTAATCTCCGATTTGAAAATATAATTCTAAGATGACATTTTATTATAAATCATTATTTTTATAACAATAGAATATGAGGCCCAGTTACTAGAAACGCGACGTAACATCGTATTATATTCAAGTTTTGAAATTTGTTTGAAAATACATGTACATACGTTGTTAAATAAGTTATTTTTTTTTAATAAAAAATGTTTTATCGGAATAATTTCGTTCATAATATTCATAAAATAAACACATTCATTTATTGGAGAATATTATACGGATCAATATTAATTTCAAGTTGGAAAAATAAAAGTGATTTTCATAAATCCCATCCTTGAATAAATAGTAGTTTATCTATAAAAAAAAATATTCTGTGACTATTAATTTCATTGTCTTCGTTTTTTGTTTCGAGTAGCAGAATTAATAGTTTACTACTATATGAGCATCTAAAAGATAACGTGTAGTATTATTCAATTAAACAGCCATAGGTTGAACTGAATAATATTTAACAAATGCTATTACCAAATGTCCTTAAAGTAATTTTTATAAAAATTTACTAATAAAAATGTAATGTAATAATTTTATTCTAAAAATAATAAATTATATATTTAAAATAATTGAAAATTACATCAATTTTGACATTCAAAATATTTTATAGTAGTTGTGAAATTACGGATTACATTTCGTTCGACTTTGTTAGATCATTAAACGACGTATATTGATATAAAATATAATAAAAAAATATTTTTTAATTGTGAATTATCTGTTAAACTAATTATTTTAATAACTCGTGTTATAACATAAATTATTGTAATTATCGCGTATTGAACTTGTATTTATTTATTTTACAGATGACTCATTAATGCCTGTATATTTGCAATATTAATAAGCATTTCAATATCACACTAATTTATTTTAAATAATTGTTTTTAATAATTAAAAAAAAAACTGAATTCGACAATTAATTCTCGTCAAGTGCTTGTGTAAAAAGTAAATGATGTCAACGCTGATTGTTTGGCAATATGAAGTTTCTTAAACAGTTTACAGTCTCATTGGATACGTTAGATTAGATCATAGTTCAGAAATATTTAGTGTGTTGAAACTGATTTCAAATATGCTAACATATATTTTCATCAGCAATTATCATGCGCAATAACGATTTATAGTAGGCAAACAACTTCAGTTTGAATACAAAAAAAAAGTATTGCAACGAACTATGCAGTCGTAAAATTGTGTACAAACATTTCACACGCGTTTACAAGATAAAATGCGATCGTTTCGCGTTTTTATTTTCGCTGCTGTCACATGTGCCGTTGCGAATATTACAATGGCCGAACTACTGGATTTTATTTTATTGCACACCAACGACATGCACAGCCATTTCGATGAGATGGATGCTTATTGTAACGAATGTCGGGAAGAAGAGGTGAAGAACAATAAATGCTATGGAGGTTTTGCTAGGGTAGCTTATACAGTAAAAAGAGAAAAAGAAAAAGCTGCCGCCAATGGGATGGAGTCGCTGTTTTTGGTGGCTGGTGATACTTACCAAGGGACTCCGTACTTTTCTTTTTTCAAATGGAAACCTGTCGTTGATTTCATCAATCAACTCAAACCAGATGTTACGGTAATACAGATAATAGAGTTGATAAAATCAAATATTTGAATAGTATCTTATATTCTTAAAATTTTACGTGTTATCATTAAAACAAGGACTTCACAAATTAATATTTTACATGTTCAATCAACACAAATATTTTACACTTAAAATATAAGTTATAAATAGGACCAGTTTGATTTTACGGCATTATGAAATATTTAAGTTAAAAATTAAGAATTTCAACATAAAATCATTTTTCCCTGATAATAACACCATGAAACATCTTATCTATTCATAATACCATATTGTTTACAATATACGGCTAATTAATTTATACGCGATTTCAAGAACTCCTAAATTCCGTTAATTATAATTACTGTATGGGCAAAATAATATATTCTTAAATTTAATGATCGTAACTAAAGAGTTGAATTGATCAGAATGTTATTGAAATTTAAAATAAATTAAATTAAGCAGGAATTTCCTAATAGGACTAGTGGATAACCATCACTTCTGATTTTTTAGTGGTATACGAAAACCGTTAGACTATTATTATTAGACATATTATTTTAAATATGATAATTATGAGCAAAAAAATATCAATCCAATTTTTTTGGTAGCTTCTCAATCAAAAAGAGTGTGTACCTGTTTAAATGTTCGCTTGCTCTAAAAAATAAGACCTTAGATTAGGTTTTATTTAATTGAAAGTTAGCACTATATAAAATTGAAATTTAAAATAACAACATAAAGATTATAAATGGATTAATAAAATAGTAACATANTAATTATAATTACTGTATGGGCAAAATAATATATTCTTAAATTTAATGATCGTAACTAAAGAGTATAACTTACATGTATTACATTTATTTATTAATTACATGTTATAATAAATATTTTATTATTTTATTTTAACTTAACCCAACCAATTGATGTAGACGCTATGCACCCATATCTTAATTTTAAATTTTTTTAGGGGATTTTTTAAACTTAGAAATGATTTTCATTAAATAATACAAGTGAGATGAACTTAAAATACATTTAATGTATTACTAATAATTGTTTCATCATGTCACAATATTTTAAATAGTATCTACTGCATTTTATATTAAAAATATAAAAATAAAATTTATTTTCGGTAATTTGTTATAACTACCTCGTGTATAATAATTTACAATAATTTTTATTAAAGAAACATAGTTTTAATGAAATCAATGGTATTTTATATAAAGTTATACATTTCTAATGGATGTATTAGAGTTTTTTTTAATCTAATATTACTATTTTTCAATGTTTTTACTTTGAAATTACCTAAAAATAAAAATTATTTGTATAAATTTTCCACAAACTTAGCATATAGAATAAAAATTTATTAAATTTATAGTCAATTATGACTTATTTAAAACCCCTTAAGAAGTGCGTCTATAGTAATATTCTTTGAGAATCTCTTTGTTACACTATCGTTTTAAACTACGTACATTTAATTTAATGTTAAAATGACTTATCATTAATTTTAAAATAATAACATTCGTAATCTAACGTCATTAAATCATTATACTAAGATAGTTCAATTTTTTTCTGGTTATCTTCTCTCATCGAACGAAGTCCTTAAATTAAAACTTTTTATTTTATAGAATATAAAGACATAACTCAAGTTTTTTTTTCAAGATTCTTTGAAGATGTCTTATTTAAATATTATTTTTTTAAAGTATAAAACTTCAAAAACGTCAATAGCTTATAAACGTAAATTTTTGTATTAATTCAAAATGTATTTAATATAGAAAAATTTATACCGTATTGACTGAGAATAAAAAACAAATATCTCTATCAGAAAATCGAAAAAAATTAATTTTTCATAAAAACATTTTATGAAAATTATCGTAAAATATTTAGCGAAAAGTTATAAAATGTTTAGCATATATTTCAGGTTGAATATATTTGTGACTAAAAATTACTAAAACAATTTTTGTAAACTACCATACAATATTTACTATAATACATATAAAATATTTGTTGCAAAATGTTTTGAAAGCATTTTTATTATAATTAATTTAAAATATTTGAAGATTATACATTTTCAAAATTATATGATAATATTTGTGATAAAATATTATGAAAACCTACATATTTTTAAATATACTGTGTGAATAATTAATATTTTTACCGTCACATAATATTTATATTATGAACTACAATAATTGGTTGATATTGCCCTTACTTTTTTTTAATTAGTAACCAAAATCCTCTATTATTATACTCTATTATTAAATAAAAAAAGTTAAGGTCAATATTTAATGTATATAAATTGTACTTTCTGATTAAATTATATTTGATATTACCGTGTAATCATAACGGGCTTTTTTGAGATGTAATACAATTGAATAATAACACACTTAAATATTTTATGCATTATTTCTAATTTATTAAATAATTAAAAGTGCAAGGCGAATGTATCATGTATAAAATAATCATGATTATTTTATTTAAATTTCTCTAGTTGACTAGTTTTGAAAAAATAAAAGCTCGTATTGTATATAAATTGTTCACAATAAAAATAAAATATTTTTTGGAAATAAACAAATCGTTTGAAACAAAAATAAGAATAAAATTGTTCAATGGTCAATATATTGTCATAATAATATTGTCATTATTTTTAGTAATTGAGTTATATGTTTTAAAATAAGTATTATTGTTTGATAGTAATACTATTTTATAAAGATCAGAACGTATTACTAAAAATTCTATTCACACAAAGTAGAATAATTATGATGATCCCTTTATTATTTTTAAAGCATTAAAAGATAAAATAGTTTCTATTACCACGTAGAATGAAAATCTTATCTGAATAATAAAAACCATAAGTATTTATAATTTAATGGATTTTTAATGATAATGATAATGATAATTTTTTTAAGTATGGTGTATTAAAAATTTGACACGCCTTTAAAATAAAGTAGTAATTACTTTATTTAATGACAATCTTATCTTACACTTTTATTTTTATTCAAAAATAATTAAAAACATACGGAAATTCTTTTTGTTAAGTATGATTTTCATTTTACTATAAGATTACAAAATTTATATTGCGCATTTTTTATAATTTTTTTCTTAAATATCTTTAACTGGCAATTAATTAATAATTATTTACCTATAACACACATACAATTAATTTATTATATAAAAAAATTGATGTGTAAAGTACATTTCTATTATAGTCAACAATTTTGTCACATTATTTTATGTGTAAAATCAAGCCGGCAAAATATGAATCTGCTTAATATTACATTCATTTATTTTAATTTAGACATTGGGAAATCATGAATTCGATGCTGGAATCGCAAATCTCTTGCCGTATTTAAACCATACAATCAGTATACCAATGGTTGTGTCTAATTTGGACCTAACTAAAGAACCCGAATTGAAGAAATACATTCAAAAATCAATTATTAAGACAATAAATGGTACCAAAGTGGGCTTTGTTGGCTATTTAACACCAGACACTAAAGTAATTTGGAATAATAAAAGGAATTCATTGAAATTATATTAATTTGAGCTAATCAGTCTCTAATTACAAGAATTTCAACCGGATACAATATAACATATATCACTCCTACCATCACCTTAAAAAAATGATTTTGAAAGAGTACATGATTATTTTTTAATTTTTATATTCTCCAAAAGAAATATAGTAAGATTAAAAATTAATTTTTATGAATTACAAATAATAACTATATTAAATACTTTATAAATTTATAAATATTTATAAATTTGTTGATATTTTAAGAGCTAATGTCCATTTTAATAATTTTTCAGAAGTAAAAAACAAATTAAAAAATTTAATGAAGTCTTAAGCAAATTGAAATTATTTAAGCGTAAAAATCATAAGCTTCCGTTAAAATTTAATCATAATTTTTTTACATGCGAAAGAATGCATCCTTCTAAAAACATATGATAAATAACTCGAAAACCCATTAATGTGACGTATCAACTTTTGAATATTATCTACAGAAATTGTATTAGATAAAATTTAAATACTTACTACAAACATGCAATTTTGAAACATTATCCTTTTGATTATTTCATTTCTTTTATTGTGTTTTTATGTACATATGTATATGTATATTTGTATACATTTTATTTTTTATGATACTTAATGTATGCAACTAGTATCATCAGTTTTCGGATGATCTTGTACATAGAGTGTCCCACCGTGATTTACTGATTGTAATAATTGTTCATATATTCAAATTGGTAAATCACGTTGGCACACCCTGTATACACCTAGGCCTGAGTGGAAAAAATTGTAAATTGTCCTTTTTAGTTACGATAACGATTGGATGCAAATTGTAGTTTCCCGAATGCAACTACTATGCTTCATCCTATTGATAGTATGCTTTTTTAATTTTATAGTTTCTATCCCAACCTGATGTTGTTGAATTTATTGATGAAATAGAAGCATTGAAACGCGAAACAAAACTATTACTTAAACAAGGAACAAAAATTATTATAGCATTGGGACACAGTGGAATAGAAAAAGATATTGAAGTTGCCAAACAAGTTGGTGATATTGACGTAATCGTTGGTGGCCATTCACACACTTTTCTCTATAGTGGTAAAATTTGTAGACTCAACATTATTTTTTTAAAGAAAAATTGATTGAGTACAAATACATCAATTTTAATAGCACTAAAGACAAATTTTTATTGAAAAATGTAGAATACAAAGGTTTTAGACGTAAAAATATTGTGCATTCTTTTAATTTAGTTTTAGTTCATATATTTTCAATAACTATGAATTAAGGCGAAAATAATTCTATTATATTTTTATATTAATATATTAAATGGTAATTTTTTCAAGAAAATAATTTTTAAATAAATATATTATCTTATACAAAATAAAAATGAAAGTTTTTTCAACTTTTAGGTAAACAACCTGATATTGATAAGCCTCGTGGACCATATCCAACTCGTGTAAATTCAACCAATGGAAAAATGATACCTGTGTTACAAGCCTATGCTCACACCAAGTACGTTGGTAAAGTTCATTTAAAATTCGACTCAAATGGAAATCTGCTGCATATAGATGGCTCGCCAATATTAATGGACCACACAATTCCAAAAGGTAATAAAAAAATTGTAATATAATCTTTAATTTGCTTGAAAGTTCAAAAGAGCATATATAAATATCAGTGAGTACAATTTTCAAAAAACTGGCCCGTCCTGGGCCAGCAATTGGAGCTAAAGGCACCAACTGTTCTAATCGATGCCATTTATTTGAAGTATATATTTTTATATATTGAAATTAAATTTATATAATGTCTACTAGCTTCGATGCGCATCTGAGAAGCTATTGATTTAATTTGACGTTTTTTTTTGTCCGGTATTTAAAGTCTATAACTTCCGCTGCTACTGAACCGATTTCAATCAACAATACGTCAAAAGATCATAAAACGTATCTAGTTAATGCAATCAGCTATAATTTTCGAAAATTCCTCTTAGTCCCGGCAATAAAGAGAAATTTCCCAAAAAATTTGTTATTATAAAACCGTCAATGTTGATATTTTTAGTTATCACTTCTATAATGAAAATAAATTATAAATACCTTTTTTATAATTAGACGGAATTTTCAAAATTTATATTGATAATAATTCAAACATTTGCCTTGTCAAAGATATACTTTTTTTAATCCAATCAATAACCGGCATTCTGTTGGAGGCTTAAAAACCATTAAACATATTTTTATTTTCAAATTTTGACGATGTTTAGAAAACCTTTAAACTAACATCAAATTAAAGATAATACAATAGACTTTAAGATGAAAAAACAAAAATTATTCAAAATTTCAACTTCTATCAAATATTAAGTATTAAAGATAAAAATCATAAATTTTTTAATAAAATTAACCGATTTTGTAATATTTTGCATAGAAAAGAATGATTACATAATCTTAAATTATTCAAATTGAAACTCTATTGTAATATAGGATTAAAAATAAATAAAACATTCCGGTAACTCTATGAGTAACTCTTAAATAAAAAGAAACCTAGCACAATGGGGTCGCGGCACAGTAGGGAGGTGGCATAGTTGGGTCAAGTATAATGATATCTGACAGTGATTAAAATCACTATCATAAAAAACGCTTCGATGCAATTCTGTAGATATTGTTTAATTAAAATAAATTGATAGATTATTCCAAATGCTATATGATCTCCTATTTTAATTTTTATGATTTAAGTGTAATATATTATTATATATAATATATAAATATTTAAAAGGAAATAGTTTTATTTTAAAAAAAAAGTATGTCAAATAAAAGAAGTATATAAATAAAATTTCTTATAAAAAAATTATATTGATCTATACATTTTTCAAAAAGTTATAGCATTTTAAAGTTAAAAATGTAAAGTATAAAATCGAAAATTTTCAAAAATAGCATTTGGTACCCATTTTCACCGTGAAGACAAAATAAAGTCCGAAATTTTTTTTTTTCATAATAAATTATATTACATAAGTTTTAATTTAAGGTATATATAAAAGTGTCAGTATTTTTGAAACACTTTCAAAAGTTAAGTTGGAAAAGTTAATTTTTTATGAAAATGTTGTCATTTTGAATGACCTCTTTGGGCAAGTAAAGTGTCAGATTTATAAAAAAATATATCAAATGATAGGAAAAGACAACGTGCATCTATAAAAAAAAATTATATTAATTTGGTCATTTTTGAAAAAGTTATAGCAGTTTTAAGTAAAAATATTTCAAAAAATGTCGAAAATTAACGACTTTATATTTTTTTTAATTTTAATAAGTTTATTGACTATATTTGTTTTTTTTAATATAATTTTTAAAGAATTTATTAGAATTCATATAAACTAATTGCCGCTTACTCTTGATGTAGATGATGAAATGGAAAAAATTATGAACATTTGGAGACCTCAAATCATTGAAAAAACTGCTGTACGTATCGGTCGTACAGAAGTTGAACTTATAAATACATGTATTTCGACTGAGTGCAACATAGGAAATCTAATAGCTGATGCATATGTTTATAATGCAAGTAAAACTTATCAATATTAATTAACATAAATATTCAGATAAAACTATAAATGAGTAAATTGTTATATAGGAAATCATATATTTAGTACAGTTTTTGAGAAGCATAAAACTCGGGGAATCACGGCTTTTTAGTTACTTAAGCTAATACATTTAATGTTAATGTAAAAGTAAATTTTCTTGTATTTTTGATTATTATTTTTTTAAATAACATCATGATATTAAAATTGAACTTAATTTATCATGTAGAACTCAAACTTTTAATTAATTGTTGAATCCTAAAAAAACTATAGTAATTAGTTTATCAAAAAAAAATCTTTAGTTAGACAATCAAGCATGAAATTCTGTCTGGAGTTTTATTAAAAAATTTTATAAAACAATATATTTATTATAATTGAAATTGAAATATTTCATCTCCTATAGTTTTCAAAAATTAAATATAAGTTAATTTTATTTAAAAAATGCATAAACTTATGAATTATTAAATTTTTTATTAACTATTATAGTTAATAAAAAATGTATTATAATTATAATTATTAAAATTATTATAATTAAACATTATTATTATTATTATTATATTTTTTAAATTTGTTTAGAATGTTTTATCAACTAATCAAAGCGGGAAATATTGGAGTGATGCTCCAATTGGGCTTCTTCAAGCAGGCGGTGTACGTTCATCTATTAACGAAACTGGTCATAATGGTACAGTAATAACTATTCAATAAATTAACAAACCAATAGCAGTCATTTTACATTATTAGATACTAAACCCATGAAAAGATGTGCGTGCGAAAACATCAAAGGGTGCTTTTGCTGTCTTACTGGTCAAATTTTACTGAATAAATTGGTTATGTTGATACTCAAATCTAAATTGACAAATGTCAATTTAATTAAGATTTACGGGAGGACTATCATACTTTATTATATAAAATTCCACTATTCGATTAAAAAATGATTTTTTAAAGATAAATGTCATGCAAATCTATCGAACCTTTCCAAAAATATAGGGCGTTTAGGTACAATTATGGTCCTGTAAAAATATTTGCTGCCCTGGACATGAATTTTTGCACACGATTATGGAAAATTAAAAAGAAATTAAACAAAACAATAGATCATTAACTTTAATCTCTTGAAAATGTCCATCGCTTAATCTGGTTGTGTTGAACCTTCCATGTGTTCTTATTTCTCATAACCTGATGATTGAAAAATGTAGAAAAAAGAAAAGCACTAGTTTCTGTTATTGTAAAAACGTCTTCAAATCAGAATAGCCAAGGAACCATTTTCTTCCAAAATAGAATTTTGAAAATATTGAAACTAATTTCCGTAACAATATTTCATTTTATCTTAAGGAGACATTTAAAATTGTAATTTCAATTATAACTTCATCTGTCCTTTTTAATCTCGGATTATAAAAGGACAGCAGATACAAGATGTCTAATGCCATAAATCAATATTGAAATATAGAATAATTATTTTATAATTGATTGAAATAAAACTTGTTTTTAGGTTATATTAGCATGGGACAACTCATTACAGTTTTGCCGTTTATGAATAAACTTGTAAAATTAACAATTCCCGGAAAAAACGTTTTAGAAGCATTTGAAAGTAGCGTATATTATTATAAAGAAAATCAGGGCACTGACCGTTTCTTACAGGTGTCTGGTAAGTTTTTTGTCCTAATTAGAAACCTCATCCATAATATACACTCGCGTGACTAAAATTCTGTATTGTCAATTTTTGCTCCGAAATTTGGATAATTTCTGCTCTATGAAAATTCATAGTGACCTTATTATATATGAGTAAAAAAAAAATATTTAAGTTATCGTTAAAAAAAATTTTCAGAAAGTAATTCTATTATGTAAAATAGAATATAAAAAATGTTACTAAATTAATTTTTATTAATTCTTAACCAATCTTTGATCCATAGAATATGGGTCTTAATACTTTTAGATATAAAATTAGTAGTGTAATATATCTTTTTTTAAGGTGCAATTGTTAAATATGACTTATCAAGACCCCCTGGAAATAGAGTAGTTTCACTTCTTCTTAGGTGTAAAGAGTGTCGTGTTCCAAAATATGAACCTGTCAAACATGATGCTAATTACACTCTTCTAATGTGTGACTACTTAGCTATGGGAGGAGATAATTTCACTTCCTTTACACACAATGTAATGACATATGAACGTACTGGTATGTAATTAATTTATTTGTTTATGTAACATCCCAAATAATGTTTATTTTGTTTTTGACTTTTAACATAAGTTAAATAATATAAAATATGAAAATTGTATTGAAAAATATTTTTCATTGCAGATTTTATCCTAAGTAAATAATTTAAAAATTTTACAGATATTGTTGATTATAATGCAGTTGCTGTATATATGAATACCACTAGTCCCTTAATTATTGGAATTGAAAATAGAATTTCGTTTTCTAATAATAATGACACTAATAAAAGTAGTGCACACAATAATTACACAATAGTAATTAAGTTATTAATTCTAAGTATTATTATTGTATTAGCTAACCAATAACTTGTATAATTACGATTAAAACTAATTTAATTACATAAAAATGAATATTTTTGTATAGATATTAGTATTTTAGTTTTTCATTATTCCTTTTTGCCTATTTCTAAAAAACCAAAAATCGAAATATCATTAAAAAATTTAGTTTTATTTATTTATTTCAAATGTAAATTATGATAAATGTTAATATATTTTAAGTTTGATTTATTTTTATCACCAAAAACAATATAATTGCACTATTCTTAATTAAATAGTCAAGAAACTGTAAAAACAGAATGTTCAGTCTGCTAAATAACATGACATAACATAAATAACAAAAACTCAAATGATAATATTATACTGAATTTTTATGTATAGACTAATTATATTATTTTAATAGTAAAAATTAAACAATCTGATTAAAACAATTTTTAACAGAGTGGTTTATCAAGATGTTTCATTACAGAAGTGTAATTTTAATGATAAAATAAAATTTGTGTAATAAATCAATTAATATACAACAATATTTAATTGTAAATTCTTGATCTCCTAAATATATTATACAAGTTTTGCATAGAATTTATTTTGAATTTTTTAAACTTATAAAATAATAAATACATTTATTTATGTTTTACAACAGTCCAACCTTCTTCAAGATCTGATTCGTGGTCTTCATCGCTAGAAGATGAATCTTCTTTCTAGAGTAAAAATTATAATGTAATTAGTAACTCTAATAATTAGTAAATCTAACTCATAGATATGATACTTAAATAATAACATGAGTATAAAGAAGGATTTTTAAAGGAAAAAAATTTAATTTAGAATGTTTATTAGTCAGGCCTTGAACTATTACCAAAAAAGATTATTAAATTCTGGTAAAATTGGAATTTTGCTTTTATTTGGTAATTGGTATCAGTAATGATAACTGGTTTTGTAAAAAGCAGTTGTCAATTACTTTTTTTTTTTTAATATTAACCGTTTATAATATTTTGGTTAATAGTAATAATAAAATAAAATTTTGAAGTACTTAATTTCACACATAAAAATAAAAAATTTCAGAGATATTTTTTTACTACCTCCTCCAAAGTACCTTTAACTCATAATTATTTTCTTCATAAGAAGTTAACACAAAATGACTACTGTTCAGTGCTACAGTAAAGCTTATGTTCTGAGAAGCGAAATCATAAGAATATCTTTAACTATTCTCTTCTAAACAAAAAGAAAATTGTATCATCATAGTATAATAATTTTTGTTCTGTGGAAATCTATTTTTAATATTTACTTAACTCAATAATTAAGCATGCATTAAATTTTTGTCTATAATTTATAATAAACATTTAAAAACTGCAAAAATGCTTTTTGAATTCCAATGTTATCTTATTGAAATCAAATTATCAATTTAGTAATAAACTAGCTAATTTAAAAAAGTTATTGGTTTTTGTTAAAAAACTGTTTCTCTGGTATATTGGATGTTGGATACCGGTTAACAAAATAAATAAAAATCTGTTTACAAATAACAGATTACTCTTATTTTTTTTAAGAAAAAAACCTAAAAATTACTTCTTGATTAAAAAAAAGTTGTTTTAATTAATCTCCAACCTTAGTAAAGTTTGGTTTTAGTTTAAATTTGTAGCCAAAAATTCCAGCATTACTTTTTAATAAAATTTAACAGTTTATTTTTTATATAGTTCTTTACTACAACTTGATATATTTTTATAAAATTTACTTCAGTATAATATAATAAATTATTCAGCCTTGATATGTGAAAACATGTAAGCAATATTTTTGATGAGGATGTGATACGAGTATAAAAATTTCTCCAAAAATTAAATATAATAACTATAAAAAATTTAAAGAAGCAACATATTTTTATGTTGCAATTTACAAATAGACTGTAAGTCATATGCAGCAATTTAATGAGCAATTAAAAAATTTTAATATTGCTTGCATCCTTTCATCTACTAAGGATTGATATAATACTCATGAGATATATTTTTAATTTAAATAATCAAACCTTATTTTTTGATTGTGATGGTTTGATAGGTAAAACTTGAATTGGTATAGTAATTGGCATTGATCTAAGTTCTTCAATTACATGAAGACGACTTTGGATTGACTGATTCCAATCACAATAAACTTTACAGATATGTTTTCCTAAATCATCAGCTGATAAATCTTCAAGAACTACATCAAAACCAACATCCATAACATCTTCTATTATATCTGATACACCCGTCCAACATGATTCATTTCCTAAAAGTTAAACTATATATTTAGGTATTTTTTTAAAATTATAAAAGGGCATTTAGTTATAAAAATAACTTTTTAACTAAAAACTAAACAAAATTTTTATTTAAAATTTTCTTTTTAGAGTTTTATACCTAAGTCATTTTACAAATACAGTCAGAACTTTTTTTTTGAAAACTATTTTTCTAAACTAAAAATTATACCATACAAGTGTTTTTTCAAAACTACATTTTATATTTATTGAATTTTAAAATAAAAAAATATCTTTAATTTATTAAATTCAGTTAAATAAAATTCTTATTACCCTAAAAAAACCCAGCACAGGTGTGGTGTGGCACAGTTGGATCAAGTATAATGATATCTGGCAGGGATTATAATCACTATCAAAAAAATGCTTCGATGCAAATCTTTAGATAATGTTTAATTTTAAAAAAATGGTGGATTCAGATAAAGTGTGTCGAATGAAAAAGGGATATAATATTATTTCTCATAAAAAAATTGTTTTGATCCATACACTTTTCAATAAGTTATAGCATTATAAAGTTAAAAATGTAAAAAATAAAATCGAGAATTTTCTCACAAAAATAGCATTTGGTAGCCATTTTCACCGTGAAGACAAAATAAAATCCGAAGTTTTTTTTCTAAGATAAAGTATATTACATTAGCTTTAATTTAAGATATATATAAAACTGTCAGACTTTCTGGAGCACTTTTAAAAGTTAAATTGAAAAAGTAAATTTTTTGTGAAAAAGTTGTCATTTTGAATCACTCCTTTAGGCAAATAAAGGATCAGATTTATAAACAAAATATATCAAATGATAGGTAAAGACATTGTGCATCTATAAAAAAATTTATATTGATTTGGTAATTTTTGAAAAAGTTATGGCAGTTTTAAGTAAAAAAAATTGAAAAATTTCGAAAATAAGTTATTTTTTTTTAGGTTTCACCATTTACGGGGAACGATGGAAATTTTTTTAATTTTTAAGGGTAATATTTTCGACTATATACAATTTTCGATCTTTCGACGTATTGTTGAAAGAAATCAGTTTGGTGAGAGCTGAGAAAAAGTGATAACAGACACAAAAAAAATAAATAAATAAAAACACATAATAGTAAAACCAATACCTCTCAGCTTTGCATCGAAGCTAAAACTAGTTTTAGTATATGTATATTAATAGTTATTAAAAACCTAATATTAACTTGAATTAATAAGATTGTATTTAAAATATTTATGTCTATTCTATTAAACATAAGTTTTTAACAAAACAATTAAAATGTTTTATTTATTGGTTTTAATAATATCAAATTATACAGAATGATTATTTTTTATTAGTTAAAATATTAATATAAATTTAAATTTAACTTTTGATTTCTTTTAGTAACTTTTTTATCTCAGCTTATCACTACTCATAAAGTATTTTTTATGTTCGTCCCCAATACATTATAAAGGTGTCAACTTTATTTTTTCAAATGACTATACATATTCAACTAGATTATAAAGTAGAAAATGGCTAGTCAATAACATTTGAACCAATATTTTATAAGTAATTAATATTTTTATACCTAGGTATAGTAGGAGTGGATCCAACAAATGTCTAGTGATAAAAATAAAAATATTTTGTACCTCAACTCAAATCATTACTTTAAATTGTTAATAAATTCCAAAATACTAGTTCAACAGTTGTTATCAAGAAGTAACATTCTTAATTAAATACTCTTTAATGAACTAGCAAGTTAAATATAACTGTTGCCATTTGAAAAATTAAAGTTGACACTCTTTTAAACATAATTAATTAATATAATTGATAAATTAAGAAGAAAATGTAACTAAAATAAATCAAAAATAAAATTTTCTACATTATATTTATTTTTTTTAATAATTAAGAAGTCAATGACTAAAGAATCAGCTTGTATCGTATTAGTGTATTTTATTTTAATACTTCTACAAATGAAGAGTGAAAATGTTAAATGTTCAGAATGCCGAAAAATTAAAAAAATTTTATTCCAAAGACGTTCATAGCTTTAATTATATATATTTTTAAATCATCAAAATTCAAATGTCTCAATATTTTATTTGAAAATAACTATTTTTTTAATAAAAATACACTTATCTTAAATGTCATTTGAAATTTATACTAGGATAACTACACAATAATTGGCAATATTTATAATATTTGTAGTGTTTTCTAAAGTTTTGAAAAGTGGGCTTTTGTTTCCTAATTAAGATTTTATCATAGATTAGATTTAGTCTTCAAAAATATAATTTAAAAAATTATTCATTAAGTATTAAACTTAATTAGTATGGCAATGACTAGAGCCATTAACTTACAAAATATGATTTAGTATATCATATATTTAATATGATTTTTTGGCACAGAACTTGTGATAGTTTAATTTTTTTATTATATACCCAACACTATTTATTTGTTACTAATAGGTTACCTGATTTTTGTAGAAAGTCATGAATATTCTTTATAAGATCAGTTATCTTGAAATGGGTCATTTCTAGTGATCCTCCCATTCCATGATCAATGGCTAACTATAGAAAGTAAACATTCATTAAAAATATTTAATTATTCACATTTAGATACATGCTTAGCACTAAAACTAAGAAAAGATATAATGGGACGAAATTGTATAGCCTAAGAAATATATTTAATTATACAACATATTACGATTCACCAAGAATAATAACACAAGTCAATATTTTTTCTTTTCTCATTTTTGCACTAACTTTAATAATATGCAATAAATTTTTAGTCTGAAATATTTCATTAATTTATCTAAACTACTTACTTCTTAAACATTTTTTAAAAAATAAATTTTTTGAGTTGTCACTATTTTTATAAATAAGCTATATATATGTATATCTGTTACTGTAATATTGGCAAAACTTATACAATAATAAAATAATATAAGGATATATATACAAACTTTTAAAGCTGTCCAGTTATTAAAAAGAATACCAATAATGTGCTCAAAATTAGTATTTTCGTTTATTATGAATAGTGACATGGCAGTAAAGTAATTTATCAATAAAAATTTAATAATTTCCAAATATTTTAAACATTATTTCTGGTTATTGAAAAAATTAATGGATAAAGATTAATGTAAAAAAACCAAAAGCACTAGGTATCCAAATTTTGGTATTGTAACTAAATACCAAAATACTACAAATATTTAATACATTATTATTGTTAGTCACGTGTATATATGATAATTGATAATAGATAACGTTGATTATTTGAAAATAACAAATCTTGTTTATTCAATTACCATCTGAAAGTAACCATAGGTAATAGGTTACCAACTCTTGATTAAGAAAAAAATTTTGTCACCACGAATAAAGAAAAATATAGTTAATATTTTCATATAATCCGTGACCATAACTTTAAGAAAATTCATTTTAATTAAGGGAATTTAATTTAATAAATAAATTTAGCTCTAATTAAAAAAAGCTGGAAAGAAATATAAAACAGCAAGTAGTGGTGACGAGGTAAGATGAAGAATTAATCATTTTAGATTGTAGTGTAACGCTAAATATTGAAGTAATTCTCATTAAAATTTTAAATTTTAAGTTCATTTATAGAAGTCATGTAAATCAGCGTAGCTTATCCTTTCTATTTTATCCCGCCTTATTCAATAATATTTCTTAAATATGATGAGGTTATATCCGTAAAATAGTACTGAACGAAAATTAAACGGTACATTTAATAATAATTTTTCTTTTAATAAATGATATTAATACAAATAGATAAGATCTTATCTATTGCATGCCTAAATTCTTTTTTGATGTCGCTGTTTTCGTTTGTAACCATATACCATGTTTAATGTATATACGGCGTGGTAAAATATGTTAACAAGACTTAATACTGATTATCATATAATATTTACTATTTCTCTAAACTAACGTGATCGCCATATATTTGACGTTTGGGAATTGAAGGATTTGGTAAGTAAAATTTTATCCATTTTAATCTTGAAACAACGTTTATATTTAGTTTAAACTATTAAATTTCCTAATATTATGGATTAATTCTGTTTATTTCATCATTCTTTATAATTATAAAATCCTTTAGTTGCATAAATGAGTATATTTTAAAAGTTTTTTTTACATTTTATAGTTATCCGTCATGAAATTCAATGTATTCAAGTCGTCATCGCGACGTAAGTCGCGCAAGTTACATTTTACGGCTCCTTCACATATTAGACGTCGTATTATGTCAGCGCCATTATCTAAAGAATTAAGAAGCAAATATAATGTTAAGTCAATGCCCGTTCGTAAAGATGATGAAGTACAGGTTAGTACTAGTTTTATAGCAAATCAATTAAAATTCTTTAGTTAGATTTTTTTCTAATTGAATAATTTATCATAGCTATAAATTGATTTAAATTCATATATCCATTCTATTGGGTTTATCCGTTTTTAAAGAAAATACTTTACATACCTTTAACAAGTTCATTAATAATTCATTTTAATATCATTTACGAGAATAATAACGCTTGAACTTTTTAATATTTAGAGATATGAATTATCTTTGGTTATTTTTTGTACTAAATTAAAAAATTGTTTCCAAATTTGAAAACTATTTTTTTAATATTAACAAACAAAATTTGTTACATATTTGAATTAGTATTTTCTTAAATGTTTAAGATGTAATTTGTAAGTGAGAAATAATTTCTTTAATAATTTAACTTTAAAAACAATTAAGAAATAGAACAAAAACTCTAGCCAAAAATTGCTTTGAATTTTTTTTAAACTATATAAACACACAATTTGGAATACCTTTTCTTGAACACAAGCATTTAGATTCCTTTCATGATATTTTACTTAATTATTTAACTCTTTGATTATTTTTTTGAAAAGAGTATTTTTCAAAATTTATTAGTTAAATACATATTAAAATATTATCATTATATCTTAACAGTAGATAGCTTCAATGCTAACATTATAAATATTATAAACTTCATGTAACCATCCTATTAGAAATATTCTAATGAAAGATAACTTGAGCTAATATTACTGAATGTACTATTAATTAAAAAAATTTCCTTGATTGAAAATCACTGAAGTAGGTTTTATATGATGAAGCAAAACCATTCTTTGAAACAGACGAATAACTAACACTGATGTTGTTTTGCTACAGTTCTTGTAACACTATTAATATCTGTGGAAGTTTTATCTGTGAAATGATATTTTACAGGCTCTGATAACTTAAAATTATATTATAGTTTATTACTTACATCCTAAAAAGGTAAATTTCTGCTGTTATGTTATGTTTTTTTTATAAATTTTGTGGTCTCAAATTTTATGATGAAGCAAAACCATTTTTTGAAATGGATGAATAACAATTTCAAGTATTATCTGATTACAGTTCTTGTAACATAATGGATACTTTCATGAGTTTTTTCTATCAAATGATGTTTTAAAGGCTCTTATTAGGGTTGGATAATTACGTGTATAATACGTTTTTATGAGATGTGTTAAAAAAGTAACGAAATTTTTAATGTAATATATAGAAAGAATTTCATTTATTTGTTTAAATTTATGTTATCTCCTTCAAAATAGTCCTCAACTGATGGTATATACTTATGTCAGAGCTTCCAATCCTCAAAACATTTTTGAAACCATCTTTTGGATAGTTTTGAGCTCTATCAATGACATACTTTTAATCTCATCTATGCTTGTAAACAACTATCATCAGAGNGTCAGAGCTTCCAATCCTCAAAACATTTTTGAAACCATCTTTTGGATAGTTTTGAGCTCTATCAATGACATACTTTTAATCTCTATGCTTGTAAACAACTATCATCAGAGTTCTCNAGTTTTGAGCTCTATCAATGACATACTTTTAATCTCATCTATGCTTGTAAACAACTATCATCAGAGTTTATTTTCGAGAACAGAAAAATTCGCACAGTGCCATGTATGACAAATTTGGAGGCTGGTGCATAATTACAGTATTTTATGTTGCAAATCAAGGCAAAAATTGATGTTGGTATATCAACATCATCAGCTAATTTTCTTATTGTAATAAAGCGTTCTTTTATGATAATTTCTTACAACTTTTTTTATGTTTTCATGGATTGTTGATGTACGAAGACCATCTACACTTTATTCCATTTTATAGCATAACTTAATGCAAATTCTTTGATCCATGACTTATACAAATGGAAAATCGCTGCCCGCTGTCAAAACACGTGTTATCCTTTTAACAGCTGACTAGAGACTAAACATCCAATATAAATTTTAATGTACTTATATTTTTAAGACATGTTTGCCAATACAATAACGATCAATTATAGGAACATTTATTCCTATGTTTTTACCACTTATATTACGCATGTTTTATTTCCATTTACTTAATTCGTAATACATATTAGCATAGAGGGAGATGCTGATGTGACAATTTTACTCGTTTGTAGTCCGAAGCTACTGACGTCGAACTAACAAAGGGCAGTTGTGTTTGAGTGGCCGTTATAGACTTAGTTTTCAATACTTTTACTTTCATCTTATTTATATTATTTATAACATAACTTGTTTTATTCAACGACCCATCTATCGCCAATTGTCATCATAGCCAACCAACTCCGTCTCATTTGAATATTCCTACTAACCAACTGTATTAGGATTCAGGTCAGGCATATTGTACATTACATATAACTTATATTTACTGAACATCTAGAATATAACTTTACTTTGTCATTGACTTAAAACAATAGTCTAATTTTATTTAATAATCTATCCTCTGTAACTAAGGTACATGATTGCCTATATCTCCTTCAGGTAATTAAAACTCATTTAAGTAGATAAGAATGAGATGTCAGGTAGCTTCCGATTCTTGGTTTTGACCCAAATCCTCAAGTATTAAACTAGCGCCTAACACAATCAAACTAAGATAACCATTGATTTTTATTAATTTCTGTTACTTTTTTAACACACCTTGTATAAACAATAGGTGGCCCTCAAAAATCAAATGTCTTTTTTTTTTTTTTTTTTTTTTTTTACACTACCTCTTAATTTTTTTTTAATGGTCAAAAAAATGAGCTGTGCAAAATTGGGGACCCATCCGTTAAGGTTAACCCGGGCCTATTAAGTTGAGTCGAAGAGTCAAATTTAATAGAAATAACTGATCTATGTCTCGTAACTTTTTTTTCTCTTAACTTAGAATTATAAAAGTAAACTGTCTTCTAGCGCTTTCTATTGGAAACCAAACAAGATATAGTTACTACGGTTTTATTCTTATGTAGGTAATAGAATCAGAAATCCTAAAATGAACATTATCTCAAAAATCGCATTTTTGAGTTACAATAGTTTAAATCTAGGGGTGCGATATATATATTTAAAATGCATAACATGATAAAATTAATTTAGTTATGTGAACTAAATTAATTTTTGTTAACTTAATTTTTTTTCAGTGAGCTAAATGTGTTAGCTCACTGAAAAAAAAAAAATTTAACATTGAATTTTTGTACTCTTATGTTATGTTATCTCATAAAACTGACAAATTTTACTATTGCTTACAACTTTTTATAATTGTGGTTAGGAAGGTAAATTTTACCTTCCTATTGAATGATGATGCAAAACCATTCTTTGAGGTAGATGAATAACTAATGTTAACATTTTTTAGTTTCAGTTCTTGTTTCTAAATTAATGATAACATAAGTTTTATCTATCAATTTGATAATGTTAAGGCTCTGACAATTCTTACATTTTTTAATAATGAATTTTAATTGTCAAAAAATATTTTTTTCAGTTAATCAGTTGTAATGTAAACTTTTTAATTAAATTTTAACTTAAAATGATTGCAATTTTAGGTTGTACGGGGTCACTTTAGAGGTCAACAAGTTGGTAAAATAGTCCAAGTGTACCGTAAAAAATATGTTATATACATTGAAAGAATTCAACGTGAAAAAGCTAATGGTGCAACTGTTTATGTTGGAATCCACCCTTCCAAGGTATATTATGATACAATTTAATACGTAATCTAATGATTATTAATGAAATTACTTTTTTACTGTGTTTAGTGTGTTATTGTAAAATTAAAGTTAGACAAAGATCGTAAGAAGATTCTTGATAGGAGAGGTAAAGGCAGAGCTCAAGCTTTGGCTCTCAAAGGAAAAGGAAAGTATACTGAAGAATCAGCTGCAGCTGCCACAGTGGAGGCATCTTAATAGTTATGACTTTTACAATAAAACATTTAAAAAAAATGTAACAAAGTTTTTTCTTTTAATCTTTTACCTTTCAAAGTATGTCAAGATAAAATCTTCAAATTGTAAGACCTAATTTTCAATAGTTTATGAAAATATTCAAATATTGATTCAGTGATATCAAAATTTATTAAAAATGGGACAAATTTCTATAAGATCACTGCCTTCCTTGTGATTCGTAACAAATACTTCTCTCATCTATTACACTTCAATTGCCATGACAAAACATTTTCTTAAATAATTTAGATAATAACAAATATGAAAGTGGTCTATGAAATTTAGTCAGGAACATATGTATTGAAAATCAATTCTGTAATATGCTATGTAAGTTTTTCTGTTCTCTCAGTCATAGGCAATAGCTTTTTAAGAATAAAAATAAATAAATTTCAAGGAATTTTCTATGAGAATCTTTCGAATTATAAGGAAAACTTTATACATATGTTTAATTTTAATCATTTATTAATATACTTATGTATCATTACAATATACTGTAATAACAAAAGCAAATCCAAATTATCACTCAAATAATGCCCCTGCATGGTTATTGGCAAATGTGTAATATTACAACTAGACTTTTCAAACTTTCCACTTAAAAAAATTATATTCTTGCTTTGTTTTAACTCTAGAATAACTTTATTACATCATTATTTATTGACATAATTTTAACTTGTCTCTAGTCACTTTCTTAGTGTAGGAAAAATATATTTTGTATGTGAACATTGAATGAAATGGATAGTTATTTGGTATGTTAGATTATTTGTTGGTATCTTTTTAACAATGTAAGCTTGGTATGATTCCATTTAAAAAAAAATACCCTAAAATAAAATTTACATAGGTTTTGCGCCACCGAGTGTCAAAAAAAACTATGGTAAAACCAATAGTTTTGAACTACGCTCCAAAGCTAAAATGTCTTGTTTTCAGTTTACTAGTTTCCTACTCATATGTGCAATTTGGAGGAAACGTGGAGAGTGATAAGTTCTTCCAAAATTACATTTATGGTTATATAAAAAATATAAGGAAACGGAATTGCATATAATTAGCCACTCCAAGAATTTTATTGAAATTGCACCCATTTCCTTACTATACTCTGCTTTTTTTTTATTAAACTTAAACAATTAAAATAAATTGACATTGGTGATTTTAAAGCGTATTTCAATGAATTCATAATATTGTAGTAAAATTATTAACTAATAAATAAGCCAACTACAATTTTATGATTATAATCAATTTATTGAAATTTCATAGTTAAAAAATGCATTTCTTCGGTTGTTCAACTAGCCTCATTTTACACACTTTTAATAATTAAAAATTTCATTTATATGTCGAATTAAATTTAACTCAAAATTTCCATCACGAAAAATACTTCTAGAAGATCAGTTCTCAATAAAACCCTTATCAATTAATCCACTACCGTACTGAATAAAAATTTGGTTAAAAATTGACCGCGTAACATAATTACTTATTGATAATTGATAACAGACGTTATCAGTACTCAAAAAATATGCAATCAAATTATTTTGTTTCTTAAAATATGTTCATCGGTATGTTAATTTGTTACTGATATTATTCAACTTATGTATTATGAAGATCTTAGAAAATTTAATTAACGATGAGTAAAAAAAATGGTATTGCACAAGATGAACTTTTTGAAATATTTCAGAACAAAAAATATTCATATTTGGATTGTATGGTACGATCACTTGGAACTGGCTTAGGAGTATTGACTTTAACTTTTTCAGTTGTACATATAGGACAACAAATTATCAGTAAACGATTTACTATTGTACGAAAAACTCATATTGGTGTGTCTACTCTAACAGCTATCGCATCATCATACTTGATTACCAAAGACAAGATACGAAGTTGCTAAGATTAATTTTATTGCTTGTTCCATGAGTAATAAATATGATCAGGCACTTTAAATTATTGAATAAAATATTCAATCCTAGGTTCAAAAGGAGTTATTGTTTTAAAAAAGATGAAGATATCCATGTTCAAGAATTTATTAATAGGGAGTTAAAATTAGCTAAAACAGGGCATCAAGTACTTGTAATTCAGCCTTACATCAAATGGGGCACAAAAAAAGATAGATTAACTTCACCAGAGATGAAGTTGGCAGAGAGCGAGTCATTAATTAATACTTTAAGAGATTGGAAAATAGTTGATTCTTTGAAAATTGGCATGACATCTTATATCAAGCATACATTTTTTGGACCTGGAAATATTGATAATATTGCTTTAAAAATTAAACAAGATCAAAGAATCTCTGCAGTTTTTATCAGCACAAATATATTAAAACCAATACAACATAAACATTTAGAGAATTATTTTAAAGTTCCAGTTTATGATAGATATTTAATAGTAATTCAAATTTTCCGTGAACATGCAGTTACTAGAGAAGCTAAGTTACAGGTAGCATTAGCTGAAGTTCCTTATATATGGTCTCGAATACGAGGTATACAAGAAAATTATACTGAAAGATTAGGTTCAGAAGCTGGTCAAATAGCTTTAAGTAGTAAAATGTTATTTGATGATAAAAAAGACTTATTAAAAGAATACGAAAAAAAACTTAAAAAGATGATTACTAAATTAAAAAGTCATCGAGAGCATTTAAGGAACAGCAGAAAAAATAAAAATCTTCCAGTTATTGCAGTAGTAGGATATACAAATACTGGCAAAACATCTTTAGTTAAAGCTCTCACTGAAGATTTAGAAATGTTACCTAAAGACTGTTTGTTTGCTACACTTGATGTGACTGTACACGGAGGTATATTGCCATCAAATTTAAAAGTTCTTTACATTGATACTATAGGTTTTATATCAGATATACCCACTAAACTGATTGAACCATTTGTAGCAACTTTGGAAGATGCGATGTTTGCAGACATCATAATTCATGTAACAGATGTTTCACATCCCAATGTTGATGTTCAAAAAAGTCATGTTGAAACTACTCTAAAGAACTTAAATGTAGAATCCAGTTTGTTAAATTCCATCATAAATGTTGGTAACAAAATTGATCTTGTTGGAAATTATCATAAAGATGAAAATTGTAATTATATTTCCTGTGTTAAAGGTACTGGGATACAAGAACTTAAAATAAAAATTGAAGAAGAAATTATTAAAGCCACCGGTAGGCAAATATTAAAAATTAGAGTACGTACTGGTCAAAAAGAGTACGAATGGTTAAGATTACACACAGCTATAATGCAAGTAGAAACTGATGGTGACTATTCAATTGTTAAAGTTATAGCCACAAAATCAGACTTGGATGTATTTAAGCATCTTTTCATATATAAAAAGTCAGGGAAATAAAAACTCACTCGCGAGATGTATTTAAATTGTAATAAATAATGCACTTATAATAACACTTTTTTATTATTATGAAAATTTGTTCACATATATCAAAAGAGAATGTCAATAACAAAATAAAAGTTAAAAAATCAGTCTTAATAATTGATTATCAGTCTTCTTATATATTTGTGTTTTATTTTTGGTTAAAAAATTAACTTACTAATTAATTTATTAAAATTTATACAAAAATTTTATAAAATTTTCAAAATATACATCCTATAATATATTAGCCTTTTACATGTCACCATTATGACTCAGTTTCATAAACTCTGAAACAAACAATATAGCATTAAAATATTGGCAATTTAAAATAAAATGTAAATATTTCTAAATAAACACCAGAAACAAAATTCATAAGAAAAAATTAAATTTTAAAACAAATTAAATGTATACCTGTTATTTTTTATTTCATTCAAATGTTTGGCTTTTCAATATCATTAGAGATGTAATATTGTATTTAATTTTTAAATCATTTTAACATGATTGATTTTAATATAAAAATAGTATTTTACTTTTAAACGACTTGCCACAAATTATTTTTTATTCATTAATGGTATAAAATTAATTTTATCACGCACATGATTTAAATTTTTATTTAACCTCGCCATTTAGTTTTAAACAAAAATTATATTAGTCACTGAATATACTTCAGAACTAAATTATTGTTCAACACAAAATTTTATGCACCGAATAAACATCTTCTCTTCTTTAAATTGGTTTTCAAAGCTGGAAATTATTTTAAGTATAATATTTCATGATTATTATAATGCCTAAAATGATAACACAATGATCAATTTAGTCAACATATTTTGTCACCTTTGGTTTATTTATTTTTTTTAAACAAATTATTATAAGTGTGTAACAATGACTATAATTTCAGTAGATTGTATAATAAATAAGGTAGGGTCAGATAAAACTTAAGTAAAAGATAGTACTTACTGAAAGTTAATAAATGATTTTTTGCTATTTATTATTGGGTTATTTAATTAAAACAATTTTAGATACTTATTCGATTTTACAAAAACTAAGTCAATTATTTTACAAAAATGAATAATTTATTATGTTGTCAATGGAAAAAAAATTCAAGAATTAAACTTGCATTAAATTTTTGTTTTGATTAAACAGTACTTTAGGAAACACAGGAAAGTACAACAAAATTAAATTTTAAGAATAATTACATCTTTTATTATAAAGTTATGAAAGATAATCAAGTTTTAATTATAATCCATATATGAGTATAAAGACAATATCAATTTTTAATAGGATTTTATTTTTGAAGGAAGAGTTTTGAATAACAGATGGTATACATATTTTTAATGTTAAATACCAATTATTTAAACATTTTTTGTAATATAAAACAAATTATTTTTATGAGTCAATATTATATTTATTTAATTAAACTATTAAGCAGAAAATTTTGACTACATATATGGGCAAAACTTATTAAATACACACAACTGAATGAGGTACATTTATAAATTTAACATACCAATTTAATGGTATTGAATGTATTATTATAAATTGTATAATATTAATATTGAAAATATTAAGGGTACAAAATGTTATAGATAGCAAATATTTAATGAGGACATAATTAGTTATCCCATATAAAAACAAATGGTTTATTTAATGTACATCTATATTAAGAATTAAATATACATACTAATACTATTATGATAATTATAAAGAAATTAAATGGAAAACGAATTATAATAATAATAAGTAGCCCAACAATTTTTATTTTTTAAGATATTTAACTTTCACACATAGATACAAAATAAATTAACTTTATTCTTTACATTGTTTCTTTTATTTAATTATAATTTTATAATGCAATTTTTATAAAAAAAAAAAAAACTGGAATTTTACATCCCAGGAATTTAACAGTTTATTTTATTTGTATTTTTATGTATTATTAGCTCATACAATATATACATTATTCTAGTGTCTTATTAGATTTCACTAAATAAAAATATTATTTTATAGATAATATTTTAAGTTCAAATTTTAAATAATATTCTACCAATAATAGCATATATTGTCAATGATATTCTTACAAAAGATATAGTCCTGACAAATACCTGATTATTTCTGTCTAGCGTACGGAGCATTACGACCTCCATATCGACCACCTTGATTTCCAGTCTGTTTTGATGGTCCAACACCACCATTGCCGCCAGTATTATAGTTTTTCCAGCCACGGGCACTAGATGAAGGATTAACATCTAAAACAATTTTTAAATTAATATACATATATTAATTTAATATTTAATAACGACAAATAATAAATATATTGTTAAGTTTATTTGTATACAATTATTTATACACTTATCATTTAAATTAATAATCAAAATATTTAATCAAAATGTTTAAAAAAAATTTTAATTAAAGTGTTAATACATATCCATAAAAATTTAACGGACCTTGGGCAAATGAATTTCCAGAGTAATATTCATCATTACCACCTCCATTATATGTAGCTACTCCACCATAACTAAAAAATCAAAATAAAATTATTCATGTAATATAATTTTTTTTATTAAATAACTGACATTACAGTCTCTAAAAACCAAATTAATAAAAATTTTACGATTTTTTTTTTTTTCAAAGTGTCAATTAACTCTAGTTGGTATAATTTCAAAGGACTAGAGATTTTTTAATTCCTTTTTAATTATTAGCATGAAGATGGTGGGAAATTAAAAAAAAAATAGAATTATTTTACTTAACATTTTTGAAGTTAAGCTATTCACTATTAATTGTCAATATTTCAAATGTCTTTGATCAAAAAAGTAATCTATTTACTCTTGTGATATTAAAATGTTAATTACCCAGAGTCATAATGAGAATAATGTGATGTTGCTGAATCACCATAGCCTCCGTTACCAGGAAAAGCATTATTTCCTTCCATAGCTGAACGAGCTCTATCTAATATGCTTAGCACTTTTGCTTTTCCTGGAACTGGTGCTCTGGGCATTCTAACTGGCTGAGGAGGCATGGGTCGAATAACTGGTGGCGGGGCATGAATAATTGGACCAGGATGACGAACAGGTGGAACTCCACCAAACTGTTGCATCTCACGTGCTTGTTCTTGAGCTATTTGATCATTGTGGTCAGGTATTAAAAATTTTCTAAGTTCTGCTAGAGCATAAGCAACACGTGCATATGCTTCAGCAGGAGGTGCATAAGCAGTAACTTGAACATGAAGCTCATCAGCTAAATGAGAAAATTTAGGATTTAAAGAGTTTCTCATTTCATCTTCCTGTTAAAAAAAACTTACTGTAATACACAAGAGTTTTACACAAAATACTACCAATATACTAATGTAAAATTTAAAATAATTGAAAAATTATAGTAATTTATGTACTGAATATTGAAGATTAATAGGTCAAAAAATAAATATTCAAAAATAAAATTTTTAAAAGACACTAAAATATAATATATTTTTACATTATTGCTAATAAAAAATCTTAATTTTTGCTATAAATAGTTATGAATAAATTAGGTGTTTTGTGGGTTATATTTGGTCAAGATATGTAACTAGTAAGAATACTATCCATTTTTATCATAACCTTATTTAAAAAAAAACAAGGATTCACATCTTGACCTATTAACTGATTACATGATCTAATATCATAATTACATAAAACTGATTGATCCATTACCTTTTCTTTGTTACGCATTGATCCTTTGCCTAAAATAGCCATTTTAGTCATTGTATCTTCTTGTAATCTCTTTAATGAATTTCCTTTTGGTCCTAACAATTTTCCAACAAAATTAAACTGCAACACAATAAATATAATAATAATTAATTAAAAAGAACCCTTCAATACTATTAAATTTTTTTAATCAAATTTCAAAACTGACATTCAAAATAATTAGTAAACATAGCTATACTATAAATATAAATAAAGCTATACATATACTATAAATTACTAAAAATCATATTCATCAGAATATGAAAATTTGACTAAAGAAAATAAAATTTAAGATTTTTAACAATAAATTTGGATTTAATCAAACAATAAGACACAATAAATATTATAACTAAACATAACAACTATTTGACTATAACAATTAATACCTATTTTATTAACTAACAGTCAAAATATTTGAAATAAAAATCAGAAATTTTTAATTACTCATAATTATTACATAACTTTTAAGTATATTTAGATTAAATAATCATGTTATAGTACCAATATTGATATAATAATTACCAAGGTTTGGAACATTTGTATAAAAATACACTAAAAATAGCAAAATATGCACTATAACAATGAAATATACAAAAATATTTTTTTCTTTAATATATTTATTTTATAAAATTTAACAATCAAAAATTTATTATAGAATGTCAAGTAAGATTTACATGTGATTCGTAGGAATTAATTAATCAAATAAATAAGCACAAAATATATTTGCTAAAATTAAAATTTTAGGAAATGTCAGTGCAAAATATATTGTACACATATGGTCTAAATAAAATCAAATATTTATGATGAAGTGAAAACAAATAATAATAGTATGTTGACTAATTTTAGATGTTGATAATGATGTTGTTTTAACCCTATTTCATATATAGAATATAAAATACATTTTTATAAAATTTATTTTTATATTTTGATCTTCATACAAAAATTTAAATAAAGAATATCAAATATTTTAGTCAAAAATTGATTCTTCTTGCTATTATGCAAAAATACATTTTAAAAACTTAAAATGTCATTTTTTATAAAAATGACGAAATAACTAAATCAAATAGTCCGTGAAAAAGGCTATTGTGAAATAAACTTGAATTAAAACAGAATTACAATAACCACTTTCCTAATTATTTATTTACCTTAAGTCCTTATAAATTACTTCTAATAATAGTGAAATTATACTTGGCTAACATATTATTTTAATAGCTTAAAATTAAATGAAAATTATCTTTTTTAATGATTTTAGTTCAACCAGTTTTCAGAAAGTAATCGAAAATCAATTAGGTAATTATAATATAATAAACGAGTAGTAACAAAAATCAAATAGAAGTATTATAACAGTGGCACAATTACAAGAGCGCTAAAAGGTACTACATTATTCCCAAAAATATAGAATAGTATACAATAATAATTTTTAGAAAGGAAAAAATTTTTTTTTACTGATTATTATCCTCAAAATTAGAGATCTAGTTGCACAACTTAATGTATAACTTAATGTTCTTAAATTAAGTAACTTTAATTTGTATAATACTTTTAAGTAAAATAACTTAATTTACCCTAGGAAATTCTTTAACTGGAACCATAATTTTAGTAGTAAGTCGAATGGGTTTATCACTATTAATATCTAAATAAGTAGATTCTGGTTTAACATTACTACTCTGAGCTCTTGAAATTTCTGTAAAAACAAAATAAATTAAATTACTTATCTCATTACACCAATAGTACAGTCAAATGGTAAATGAAATTAGTACAGTAAAAATACTTTACACGTATAACTCATAGTAATATTGTATGCCCAAAATATAATAGTAGTTAAACTATTTTTTAGTTTATATACATATTATCATTAATTAAATTAATATTATTTAGTTTAATTTATAGTGTAATACAAACACAAAGTTTTATCTATTTTGGAATCAATCGTCAAATTATAAGTAAAAATACATTATCAATTTTGTAAAACTGATTAATGTTATTAAAGGAATAATATTTAAAATTAAAAATATATTTTAAAAAAATCCATTACATTTTAAATAAGGATTGAAAATAATTTAACAAATTTTTCATAAAATAAAATATAGAATTAATCAATTTATAAAAATTTAAAAATATTACGTCTGTACATCATTCTATAATTTCTTATTCCATTAATTATATTTTTCAGGTGATAAATAAACAAAAATAATAACAGAAGTTTGTAATAAATTTGAAAACTAACCATTATCAATTAACTTCATTGCATTTGGATGACTATCTGAGTCCAAAGCATACTTTTCTTTCACTAAAGAAGAAATGTATTCATTTGGTTTAGATTCTGTAGCTACATCACCATTTGAACTATCATTAACTTCATTTGAAGACATTGTTGTAATTAATAATTCTAGAACTTTGAGAACCTGTAAAATATACTATAAATAAAAATCAAGAATATATTTATTTTTAATAACATGCACATATATTTATAGCATAGTTAATTTTAAAAAATTGGTACCTACTCTTTAATTTTTCTTAAGTTATAAAACAATATTTACTGATATGTTTATACAAAGAGTAAACACTACCAGTAGTTTATGGACACAGATGTCTTACATGTAAAAGAATTTCAGTAATTCAAAAGCAAATAATGATAAATAGCTGTTATTTGTTAATGTGACTTAGTAACAAAAATGATTTAGAAGTTTTTTTTGATAGAAAAAGCGTGTAAAATGGCCGCCAAGGTACGCCAAGAAGATTAATTTCACAGATGCACAACAGTTCAAAACGTTTTTCATCACTAAAGGTGTTTAAAATCGATAACAAAATATTGAAATACTCGACCTTATATTCCTCCAACCTTGGTATAAACAATCCTACTCAAAGACTTAATGATAAAAATATTTATTAATAGATAGCGCTACGTAATGATCAACATTTATTGACGTGTATGAACAGATATAGAGTATTTCTTTTTTGTCATAACTATTCTATTATTCCTCTATATATATGTAATTTTAATAAAAAATAAAATATTACCACTAATTGTTAGCTTTCTAAAAACAGAAATTTTAAATAATTTTGTACATTATATACACTGAAACTAGATGAAATAATTTATACCAATCATATTTTAACGTATTGTTTTAAAAATATTGGTATTGAAAATAAAATATTGTTCAAATTGCTAAGTACAAAATATTTGCTTTGTTGATTTTAACATTTAACTTTAATGTGTTAATAAATACACTAAAATTAAGGTAAGCATTAACATAAGCTTAAGATAAATTTTCAAAACAAAACTGTTCGACTAGATAGTTACAAAGTTATAAAGAAAAGCACCATTAAGTTGAGTAAATACAAAATTTCTTAAAAATCAAGGGGTTCTATAAATTAAGCTATTTAATTCATACTAAAAAATACAAAAAATGAATTAATATTAAGATAAATATAAAAAAACATTTAGATAATATTAATACTTATATATTTCAAATTATATTATGGAAACATTAAATTAATTTCCAAATATAAATTTATGTATTATTAGTTTTGTGTATGTGAAACTTTTAGCATCATATATTTGAATATAAAATTAATTAGTAAAATAATTTTTTTTTTATTAAAAGCTCACAACATTCAAAGATATTTTAATTTATAGATCTTTAAATTAATAACTCTAATAATTTAGATAATTAGAAGAATTAGCTATTTCCTCGTATAATAATAGATATAAGCTTATTTATATTATTAGGAGCACAATGAAAATAGAAACTTGAATAAAACAATAAAAATTTCCAATATATTTCTTTAAATATTTTTAACAAATTGATCTGCAAAAATTATACAATTGGAATATTATAAAATAGTTCAGTAAATCACTGCTCTGCTATTTTGAGAACAAAATAAGACTATAAAAAATTACAAATATTTGTTTAAATTATTTTATTATATTAAAGAAAAAAAGTATTGTATTTTTAGTTAATAATTAGATAAATCTAATTATTATATCTCACTGATGAAAAAATACTTATTTAAGTTTCTGAATTTTAAAATTCAATAGGATTATCTTAAGTGGAAACAATATCCTCTAAATAGCATTTTGTCAATTTAGCTCAATCAAGGAAAAATAAATCATATTGTTTATTAAATTTAAGATATATATTTTGATAATTTTATAATTATGATTGTAAGCAAATATTATAAAAAATATATTGTTAAGTTCGTTGTTATACATATATAAGACTTAGTCCTTATTAAATTTTTAAATATGAGAGATCTACATAATACAGCAAATAGTTAAACAGATATGCAAGAAAAATAAAGAAAACTCATTTTATTTACTAAATCAATTAATTATATATCTAGTATTTTCATTATTTATTAAATACATTATTGATTTTAAGGATACGAAGTATGTAAAAACTACATTAAATACATATAATTATTTAGTTTCTTATGATATATTTTGTTATATAATTATTAAATTATCATAAAACCAAAACCTTACTCTTTAATAATTTACCTGTTCATCATTTGCAGTGGACACCGATGAAATCAAATCATCAATATTATTATAATCTATGACTGAATTTTTTGTATCATTTTGATAGCAACTGCTTTTCTGCATGGTTAATCAAATTTTAGATGCGAATTCCATAATTTCATTTAATTTGTAGTTATTTTTTTAGTTGATACTCCATCAAATTATTTTTATTACACTTTTTTTTTTATACTAAAAAATAAAAAACGTAAATAATAATTTTGATTTTGAAAACAAAAAATATAGGATTTATTATATTTAAATTATTAAAAATCTTAGATACAAGAAATTAAACTAATATGAAACATTTTTCATCAAGCGAATGCCATAAACCTAAGACTATAAAAGTAAGATAGTGATCTATAACAGCCCTTTATTGTTATCTCTCGCCATGGACGCGTTGTAGGAGAAAATGCATCATATCTTGGTATTTTAAGGCAATATTTAAAAAAATATAAACACTATCAATGATAAAATTCCACTGTATTACGTGTGAAAATGAAATTTTGAATTGGCCATCTAATTTCTAAAGGTTTATAACTAAAATAAAATATTAATTAATAACAGTAAAAAATCTCGAATAATTTTAGGGTGCAATGTCTAAATAAAATTATTTTCTTTGTTATAATTATAAATTGAAGTATAAAATAAAAAACGCATTGATTACACTAATCGATTGTTTTTAAATTCTTTAATTACATAAAGATATTTTCTTAAATTTCCAAAGTTGTTCAAATATTATTACTTCTTTAAAATTATATATTATAGACATTAATATAAACTTCGGAAATTATAAGTCGCAATCATTTCAAAATAGAACTTGACATAGCTTTTGAAACATGATAAATATTATAATAATATGTATTCGACACATTGAATTTATACTTACCAAATATTTTACTCATGTGAAATTTACTTCAATTTTATTGTAGCATTAGATTATTTGATAAAAAATGTGTTAATATTGCAGTAAATACTTAGTAACGGTTCAAAATATGCCTGTGTAGCAGTTTACTAGTATTATAGTTTGACCGTCAGGAGTTATAAAGTTAATCCCAATAACTATTTTTTTTTTTAATTTAATTGAATTATTATTATGATACACATAACGTAAATAATAACTATATAACAATTTAGAAAACACAAATTCTTTAATAAATTAATACATTTTTTTATGGGTCTACATTTCATATTTCATTACATCTCATACCATTTTATTTTATGCCTTATTTTTAAATTTCGCCATAATTGCATTATTTACTTACAAAAAAACTACGTGACAAGGTTGATTAGTCAAAATATTGTGAAATGGACTAAAACTTTACTTTTTATGGCCACAGACTAACTTTTTTAATTCGAGTATTACTACTTGTTTTTACTTTGAATATAAAGCGAACACCGATTACTTGTCTACTTGTTTAGATGAATATTGCTGTTCAAATTAATTTACCTATCTATACCAGAATCCTTTTGCATGAAAAACACAGATAACTATAGTCAAAAGAGGACGAATAACGAATTCCGATGAACGAATGTATCCGAAAATCCGTCAAATATACTATTCCTACTACTTGACAAATATCGTAAAATACTGGATTGCGGGTAAATAATTGGGAAGTAGTAAACTCCGATTAAAGTAAGCCTTCCCAAGTTAACACATACAAAATCGTAGGTGTTAACCCTACAAAAGTACATGAAAATTACTTTCTGTAAACTCCGACAAATGCGACAAGTGAGGTACACAGAAAATATTATAATTTTATTTATAAGCCTCATAAAATGGATTTATATATTATTTAGCCCATTTTAAGATCTTTAAAAATAACTGCAAAGTTCATTAATTTCTGAGTCTTAATTATGACATGGGTATTTAATCGAATTAACGTTGTGAACTTGATATTACCCATCTCTGATTATTATTATCTAAATGATAAGACTCTCAAACTTTGGGCCTCTTGCTTACAGAGTTTCAAATATCACATGTTTGGGAATCATTTCACTTAAAATCTAATAGGTATTTTTATTACAATCTCATTATAAAATGCATAGATTCTGTAGAGTAAATTACTTATTCAGTAAATTCTACCACGGAACACACATGATCTTATCTATGCAATACTCTTACAATTTTCATTATGTATATTGTATATGTTGGAAACTTACTATACGATAATTTTATATAATATTGTTTGAGCATAATTAATATGGAAAAACGATTCATCTGTTGTAACTCAAAATAATTGCACAATTAGGTTACTAATATTGTCAGCGATACAGTAATCGGGTGATACGGTGACACGGTCCCGCATCGCTTTGTGATACACGGAACCCCTTGACCCACGCCATTTTTGTCAGCCATCACTCGGGTAGTTTAATTGACTAATACCACGTGCCATACGCCACGGTGCAAAGTGCAGCAAATGCCGCACATGACCGCAAATTTACGTTTAGTCTTCTTCACGTTGTCGAAGTGTAGACGTCGATGATGTACACCACCGGCTTCGGACGTGTCGCAGGACCGAAACCGCACCGTCACCATCAACACTGCTAATTTTTGACGTCCGAAGACCGTGCCGGACACCGCGTCGCCGACGTCAACGAAAGTTCAGCGATATTATGCGAATATTATTAATAATTATGTCCGTCTTTTAAAATAATCTGTTATTGCTCAACAATAATAAACAATCCACAGGTCTCCACCATTTACACTAGTGTCGACTACATTATTGCGACGTTAGGTTCTGTGCGTTGAACGTAAAATATCTATTGTGTAGCTTGAGTACCATAATCGATTTGTTATATTTTAATTATTTTATTAAATGTAAATTATACATAATACTTCTAATATATCTTTGATTTCCATATTATTTAAGTTTTTTTTTAATTATATTGTAGTTAACACTATATATTAATTAAAATAATGTAATACACAAGAGTTAATTAAAAAGAAGAAAAGAGTGATATAAAAATGCAACATCAATAATACCACAGGTACAGATTGTTATCAATGATAGAAGAGACTAAGTCACTTTAAGTCTCTACTCAGAGTAAGGTCAAATCAAAAATCTAACTCTGTTAGCTCCGTATACAGAGCTAACTAATTGATAAAGTAAATACATTTTTATATAATATTATTGATTTATTTTATTTTTTTAATCACTTGATCTTTCTTGTTAATACTTAAATTATATATTTAAAGAAAAAAACGGTAGCACAGTGGAGTCGCGACGCAGTGTGAGCGTGACATACTTAGGACTAGTGTAGGTGATATCTGACAGTGATTAAAATCACTATCATAAGAAACGCTTCGATGCAAATCTGTAGATGATGTTTATTTTTATGAAATTTTCATGGATTTTTCAAAAGCAAAACTCTAACTCAAAAAGAATTAAGGAAAAATTGCAAAAAAATCATTGCCACAGGCAATAATTTTTACTGAATCGGCAAACGTTAGTCGCATTCATTTTTTAATAAAATTGGCAATTTAAGCTGATTCAAATGTTAAAATTAGTTGTTTCGACTTAAAAGAAAAAAAAATTTAAATAAGTTTACCTTTATGTTTTATGTCAATAAGTATTATATAATATTCATGAAAATCAATGTAAAATGGGTTACATTGATTTGATAAAGTATATTAAAATACAAAACCCAAAATTTTAACACAAAAATAGCATATTTTTGAATATTATATTCAAAAACATGGTTATCATTAACCATGTTCACTTTACCTCAAATTTTTTTTTCATAGTATACTATATTACATAAGCTCTAATTTAAGATTAAATAAAAATGTCAATATTTCTAGAAAATTTTCAAAAATTGTGTTGAAAAAGTTTAACTAATAAAATCTGAAATCATAAATTTTAACGCCAAAATTGCATGTTTTTTAACTATAGCAACCATTTGCACATAGAAGATAAGTTGTCGGGACAAAATGTTTTTTTTGAAATTATAGTGTATAAAATTATCTTTATTTTAACATGTTTGAATTTTTTGAAAAAAAAAAAATGTCAAAATTTACCGATTTTAAAAATCGTAATTTTTGGAGTTATTTTCACTATTTACAGTGAACGAGGGCAAAATTTTCAATTTTTGAGGGTAACACTTCAACTAGGTACGATTTATGATCTTTTGACGTATTGTTGAGAAATATCGGTCCAGTGAGAGCTGAGAAAAAGTAGTAACTGACAAAAAAATAAACACATCATAGTCAAATTAATACCTTCTCAGTTTCGCATCGAAGCTAAAAAAAGATTTATTCTAAACCTTATAGTTTTTAATTAAAATTAATATTTACTTTGATATTTCCAGTAAATGTTTAGAAATAAATATAAACCGTTTTGTTTATTTGAATCAATTTTGAGCGGACTGTGCACTTCATACATATGCTTCCAAGTAGTAATGAGTGAACAAGAATAAATGAGAACAAACTCAGGAATTATATGTGTTTTTTAAGCCTTTTATAGTATTTTTTTTGTAATATTGTATTATTACTTATAATATTAACATATAATATAATGTTATCATTTGTACATGTATGTCTCATATTGTGATTATACGAGATCACCAAAACAGGGTTCTCTTATTTAAAATACAAAATAACCAGTTAATTATAATTATGGGATAAAATCTACTTATTGTATAGATTATTATGTAACGCCTACACTCATTATAACTAACCAATTAGAATAGAAAGCCTCAGCTTCCAGGATCTTGATAGAGATCATTGGGCTACCCCCTTCAGACTATAAAAAGCCATTTTTCCCGTCTAAACCCGTTCATTCGGTTATTTTAAAATACACAAAATCTATGACACTCTACCAAGATTTCACTCTCCGGGACTTAGTCGATTTTTTAATTAATTTGGACTTATTTGGAGTATTTTTCTTTAAAACTTAATAACACTTAGAAATTTTGTTTTGGTGAATCTTGTATTAACTAAAAATAAAGTTGATGGGGATGGTATTAATAAAGAAGAATGATAATGGCATCATCCGTAAAGACATAATAGATACAATTACTTTGTTTCTAGTTACTTTATTAGTGTAGTTAGTGTATTAAAACTACTCTTACCTGATATTCACTGATGATGATAGAATCTTGATTGTAGATTTATGGTTATTAAGAAGGTTGTTAATTATTATATTAGGTATGTTGATAAAAGAGAATCGTATTTGGTTAATAGAAGCGCATTTATTATTATAGAAAGTGTTAATTATTTTAACAAATGTATATTTTAATTTTAGTGTTAAAAGTTAAGTCTAAAGACAAACAGTATAAAGAATATGCTTAAGTATGTTTGGAATAATATTAAATTAGTTAACTTGACATTATTAATTGAGAAAAGTGGACAAGAAAAATGAAAGACTGATTGACTGTAATAGCAGCGTCTCCAGCCCTTATATAATGTACCACGAAAGGCATAACTAGGGATGAGATGTATTGATTGTGTCATGCCTTTTCATAGACATATTGAGTCACCAATCCGTACTACAATCAAAAAAAGACAGTTACTTTTTATTACTTTCCCTTATTTAATGCTTTTTGTGGTACCTTGAAAACACTGAGAACTCTATACTTACTGGGTAGCTAGTCATTGACTTAATGTCTTTGCTTTAACGAGCATCGCGCCGGCGGACAGAGTTAAGATTGCAACTAGATATTATTCTAGAAATTGATATATTAGGTTAGAATATATTTGTAAGCCTATGTGTATTGGGTAGCTAGTCTTTAAGCTTAATGTCTTTGTTCTAACGAATATCGCGTCGGCGGACAGCGCAAAAAAACTTACGAATATATATTTAGTGTTTAATTTTTGTCTTGGTGATTATTGTGCCGCATCCTTTCAAGGCGCTAGCGTCAGGACACATTGGGCCACCACAATTACGCGTTGATAAATCATTTACATAGATATAAATATTTTTGAATCTTATTTTGCCAAGACCATAGAAAGATATAAGAAATATTGGTATCGGTCTCTCAATAAAATATACTCATACATACATACATATTATCTTATGAAAAAAAACTTAGATTAAGATTTATTAGTACATTACATTGTGTGATATATTTTATTGCTTAAAAGATAATAATAATAACGAGAGGTTTATGTATCATAACAAAACAAATAATCTGAGAGATTAAATTACAAGTTTCGGTTATTAATTATAAGAGGCTAAATTAAAAGAGTACTATTCTAAAATAAATAAAATATTTATAATATGCTTATTATAAGAGAGTCATTTATACATATCTAATGGTCGATAATAACATAGAGAAATACAAATAAAAATGCTTCGGAGTATGGGAGCATAACTCCCATAAGGACAATTTAAATAAAATCCTTGGAGATGCTTATTGTATGGAATCTCCCTCTTAATTTGTTTGTATATAGTTATACAAAATAATCAATTTATCATAAACCACTCATTTCTCACAAAATAAATGCAATATTGAAAAAAAAATGTATTTTAGTTAGATATATTTGTTGAGTTATTAGCTATAAATTTTTTAATTAACCAGATTTTCTATAATTTTGGTTGAATCGATCAAATAAATCACTAGCTAGACTTTAAAGACATTCATTTTAGCTACATCAATGCATTAAATTTTAGTATTTTTTATTATTATTATTATTTTTAAATACATACATAATAGCTTTTTTAATCAAAAGGATTTGTGTGTAGTTAAAAAATATAAAATAATAATTTTTTATATAATAATAAAAAAAAAAAAAACCAGGCACAGGGAGGTTTTTGTATATAGTTATACAAAATGATCGATTTATCATAAACCACTTATTTCTCACAAAATAAATGCAATATTGAAAAAAAAATGTATTTTAGTTAGATATATTTGTTGAATTATTAGCTATAAATTACTTTTTAAAATCATTCCTTATACCTTATACCTTACATGTAAGGTAGTCAATTTTATATTTTCAAATGGGAGCGGCGTACATAATTTATTAACTTATTTAATAGAAAATGAATTAATTAAGAAAATTATTGCTTACTACGATAACAGCTTTTGGACCAGTACTATGGATGTTATTCTCATATATATATATATACCTAAGCGGTAGGAAGAGTACGATATGGAAATTGCTATTTATTTATAGAAAAGCAGCATTCACTCCTCACCTCCAGTCAGTACTTTAAATTATATATAACTTCTAAAATACTGGTCTAAAAGTTGAAATCGACCAGTCATTTTTTCCTATTTTATAAGCTAGCTTAATATGTATGTTGCCATTAAAAAAAAACCCAGCACAGGGGGGTCGCAGCACAGTGATGACGTGACATAGTTGGATCAAGTATAATGATATCTGACAGTGATTAAAATCACTATAAAAAAAAACGCTTCGATGCAAATTTTTAGATAGTGTTTAATTTTAAAAAATTGGTGGATTATTCCAAAAGCTACATGATCTGCTATTTTCTTATTAATATTCTGAATTAAAAAAAGATTATTAAAAAATATTATTTCTCATAAAAAAATTGTGTTGAACCATACACTTTTCAATAAGTTATAGCATTATAAAGTTAAAAATGTAAAAAATAAAATTGAGAATTTTCACACAATAATAACATTTGGTAGCGATTTTCGCCGTGAAGACAAGTCCAGAGGTCAAATTTTTTTTTCATATTAAAGTACATTACATTAGCTTTAATTTAAGATATATATAAAAGTGTCAGACCTTCCGGAACATTTTCAAAAGTTAAGTTGAAAAAGTTCTACTTTCTATATGAATTTTTTATATTTGAAGCCCCCCCGTATATAGGGAAATGGTCTGATTTAAAAAAAAAGTATGTCGAATGAAAGATGTATATAAATACTACTAATACTAAAAAAATAAAGTCCGAAATTTTTTTTTAAGTTTTAAGGGATGATTCTAAAAATTAATTATTACCTGATAAATCAAGAATTATATTTAACTAAAAAAAATCAAAAATTGGTTTTCCACTATTAATATTTATTTTGCGAGTAATCGAGTGATTTATGATACACCATTTACTCAGTATGTGTAACTTTTCTAAATTTGGAGGAACTAAGCCCCCCTAATATACGCTTATGCCATCATAATTTATATCATAAAGATTTTTCATCCCCTTCAAGACAAAATCATTTAACTGTTACTGACCAGTAAGCCCAATAGCGCCGATTGCAATATGCACGTATTTCGTTTGCAATACATAGTATATTAAGTGAGTGGTATAATAGAAGACATTTTTTTAAATAATAATTATAATAAATAATCAGTAATGAAATTTTATGAAATAGTAATTAGCAAAAGAACATGATTGAATCATTTGGTCATGGTGGCATCCTAATGAAATGCTATGTAATACATATAAAATTTGATATTAGCACCATTCAATTAGTAGGTTAAAGAGCGATAAATTTTAGTGAGCCATAAATGTGTAATTAAGATAAAAACTATTTGATTGACATTAGAAAAAAAAATTCATAATACATTATTCTCGTTTTCGTCTTATTTGAAATTTATTAAATAAATATCAAAAATAAGCGTTTTTTAAATTTGTATTTTTTTTGGAGATTTCTCCCATTTACGGAGAACGAAGAAAATTTTTTTAGTTGAGGGTAATGTCTTCGACTAGATACAATTTGTGATCTTTTGACGTATCATTGAAAGAAATCGGTTCGGTGAGAGCTGAGAAAAAGTAGTAACAGACACAATAAAATAAGCACATCATGATAAAATTAATATCTTCTGAGCTTAGCATCGAAGCTAAAACACGACAAAGAAAAAGAAATAGCTTTTAGTATACACATTAAAGCTAAAAATAATAATAAAAAAAACTTTATTCTTATTTAAATAATTAAACAAGTGTTAACAAAATTGTCACATAGAATTCTATTTTTATTATAATAATATCTATGAGTATATATAATTATTATACATACTTATATGATTAATACGTTAAAAAATATTGGATTTTATCATTTAAACGTTATTGATTAATAAATAATTCAAATTCTTGCAATTTCACAATAATATTGAAAATGAACATTAAATTATTAACCTTATTATTTTATACTACAAGTATTTTTCTTAAAATTGGACTTGTTGATTGTAAAACAAATAGAAAGGCGTATACAAAATATTTTAAACAAGTGACGAAGCACATACGTGTTCAATTCACAAAAATGAACCTGGAACACTTATCAGTAAAGACTGACAAAGATAAAATGAGCATAAAAGAATTTCTAGAAAATTCATTATGTAACATTTGTGAAGTATTTGAAACATTTCATAAAATAGTTGATTTAATTAACTATTTATATACTGAAGTACTACAAATATTTACTGAACACTTGAAAATCATTATAGATGATTGTAAAAATTATTTTGAAAAAAATTCATTTAAAGATGCAATTTATTGCACAGTAGTAATTTTAAATGCAACTAAAAATTCAAACATGATGTTTGAATATTTATACAAAGCTATAACATTTATTGATTACTTAGATATAAAATTAGTGTCAAAAAATTCACTAATTCGTCCAAAAACAGTTGCAGAGGAAATTTATACCGTTAAAAATTACACGTTTTTAATGAAGACATCAGAATTGCTGAATTATGTAAATAATGACGAAAGTATCAAAATTGAAGAAGCTAAAGAAGACTACAAAGAAATAAATAACTTTTTCAATAAACTTGTTGCAATAACACGTAAAGATTTTAAAACAAATTTTAATATTATAAATAGTACAATGAAATACAATTTACGAGAAAAGTATTACACAGAATACACAACAGATGAGCATAAAATAAAATTTGTCGATTTTGTTAAAGAAAAGTTAAAGGCTTACTGTTTCGAAACCATTAATAACTATTATATTAAAATAGGATTCAATCAGTTACTTGACTCTAGTATTGCTGAGTAAGTTTTATTTTTTAATAAAAGTATTGTTGGCTACAATAGTATTTGTTGTATATTCCAATAAACTGATATTCCAATAAAATGTATTTAAAAAATCAGCGTAATTTATATAAATTAAAAGAACCTAAATTACGTAGTCTAAAATAATTTTTTTATATAGAAAAACATTCAATGTTGAAAGTTGTATATAAAATAAAATATATTACAATAATTATTTTAGGTACATTTTTTAAATTCTAAATAATAATAATAATTTTGTTTTAGGTTCATACCCCCTCGGAACATTGACGTTTCTCAATGTAAAGCAATTGAAGTACTAAATACTTTATTCCGAGAAGGAGATTGGAAGCTATTAAACCATATAAAAATAATATGTGGTGATATAACAATCACTACTGACCAAATTATTAGAGACACTGTGGACGATCATAATATTAATCTAAAAAAAAGATACTTTACACAGCTAATAAGGTGCAAATATACTGAAGTATTAAGCAAATATAATACGTATATGTCAGCTATAATTCAAACATGCTTATGTGAAATTACTAAAAAAAATGTAACTGGCTATGTAGATTGTATTATTCAATTTTTTGATGCGGTAAAAAATTCAAAAGAAATGTTTAAATATATGTTGTCAGCAATAGATACATTAAAAGTTACATCAATTTGGGAACTGCATAAGTCACATGCATGTTTAAAGCAAACATATTTTTTATTAAGTAGTTTTTTCCCTAATATTGAACATATTAATTTAACGAAAAGTGATTTTTTCAATCTATCTAATGACGAAAAAAAAATAAAGGCCGATAATTTCTTATCAGATTTTAAAAAAGCACGAATACAATTTGATCGTATACTTTTTACCCGAAATGTTTATGCCTGTAATTATTGTTTGATTAATGGTGAAAATATCAATCAAAATCAATTAATGCAATCATGGGCGACTATACTTTTATCAGCTAATACTAACAACACTACTGGAAGCCCAATAATTTTATATGACTATGCTTTGACTCAATTTAGAACGTTTTGTAATGTTGCTATTACAAGTGTATACGATTGTTTAGGGTTTAATAAAATAAAAATATAATATACACGTACATTATATTACACTACATCATAGTAATTAATAAAATTCTTGTATTTTTATTTTATTTTGAATTAATAAATTTTTAAACTTTTACTTGACGTTGTTTCATTACAAAAAGTCTAAATTATATTATATTTTTAATAATTATTGAATTTGAAAAAAAATTTGACAAATTTTACTGATCATTTATAAAACAAAATTTTATTAGCATAATTTTATTTAAATATAATATTTGATTATTTTTGTCGTAGTTATTAAGTTTTTTAAACTTACATTCAAAATATGAAGACATATAACACTTAACATGCTATATAAAGTTATATAACATATTTTATAAAAATATTTCCATTTAATTGAGATCTATCTATGAAGTATCATATTTGGGTTCATTGGTAAACCGACAAAATCGGTACAATGAGAGCTAAGAATTAATTATTGTTTTGTAATTTTTTTCTTAAAGTAGACTATGTATTTAAAGTAATTTTTTCTATACTCACTTACTACCTATAAAAAATAAAAAAAATATTACTAATGTATAAACCACTATTGTAATTATTACAAATTACCTGCAAAATATGTTGTTTTTAATTTTCATTTTTTGTAAATATTGAGCTAAATTTCTCCATCAATTTTATTGCACGTCTTGATATATCGTTAACTTCAGTTGAATTTAAACAAATTTTTTAATAAAAGACATGTTCAATATTATGTCAACTTACTAGAATTTCATTTAAAAATGTTGAAACCTTTGCAAAAAATATTTTGAATGTGACGATAATATACGAATATAATATAATACGATAATATACAGTCATTGTAATTTATTAATCGATTATTCATACGCTTCTTTATTTTTATATCAATACAATCACCAAAAAAATAAAATACTAGTATTTCCTCTCCTAGGTACCATAAATGTTAAAAAAAAAAAAACCCAGCACAGGGGGGTCGCGGCACAGTGGTGTCGTGGTATAGTTGGATCAAGTATAATGATATCTGACAGTGATTAAAATCACTATCAAAAATAAAGCTTTGATGCAAATCTTTAGATAATGTTAAATTTTAAAAAAATTGGTGTTTTATTCCAAAAGCTACATGATCTGCTGGCTCCTTATTAATATCTCGATTNAAGCCCCCCCATATATAGGGAAATAGTCTGATTTAAAAAAAAAGTATATCCAATGAAAGATGTATATAAATACTACTTCTCATGAAAAAATTGTATTGATCCATACATTTTTCAAAAAGTTATAACATAATAAAGTTAGAAATGTAAATTATAAACTCGAGAATTTTCACACAAAAATAGCATTTGGTAGCGATTTTCGCCGTGAAGACAAGTCCAGAGGTCAAATTTTTTTTTCAAATTAAAGTATATTACATTAGCATTAATTTAAGATATATATAAAAGTGTCAGACCTTCCGGAACATTTTCAAAAGTTAAGCTGAAAAAGTTCTACTTTATATATGCATTTTTTATATTTTAAGCCCCCCCGTATATAGGGAAATGGTCTGATTTAAAAAAAAAGTATGTCGAATGAAAGATGTATATGAATACTACTTTTCATGAAAAAAATGTATTGATCCATACATTTTTTAAAAAGTTATAGCACTTTAAAGTAAAAAATGTAAATTATAAAATCGAAAATTTTCACACAAAAATAGCATTCGGTAGCCGTTTTCACCATGAAGACAAGTCCAGAGGTCAAATTTTTTTTTT